CTTAAATTTATAAGAATTTTAAAAAAAAACAACAGTCATTAGAAATATTACTTTTTCCAATGGAATCGTCCACCAGCTTGTACTAAATGCGACTCCAAGTAAACCAAGTGCAATTAATGATGGAATAAGAAGTAGAATAAAACGTGTCCAATGATTCATAATGGATCTAAAATGGAATACAGAAGTAACTAACTTGATGTTCACATTATCATTGTAGTTCGCTCAATGTTCTTCATCATTCGAACTGAACGAACATAAAATAAAAATAAAAATCAGCTACGCAATAGCTACATGATGAAAAGAAAAGGTGATCGGACAGGCGGCATGTAATATAAACACAAACACGCCCATCTGATTTATTTAATAAAACGAACTATAAGAATAACTATTTTTGATGTACTTACATGAATAAATCATCAAAAAAAAAAATATGTTTAATGCAAACAAAATTCGACTTAACTTCTAGAATCATTCTTCCATCATATAAACTAATTCTTTGATCTTCTTAGTCATTTTTACGACTATTGTCTAACAAAAGGCAAAACTAGATGCTATTATATACTTGCTTTCAATAGTAATATTTCTCACAAATGATAAAAAAAAGAGATAGAAACCATAGTATGTTGTCTATCTTTTCTCTCGAGAATCGACTAATATATATGCATGTCAGTCACCCTCATTTTTTTTTTCTCTAGTGCAATCAAATAAAGGATTATTCAGTAATATATCACTGTAGGCTATAAAGTCTGTTTGATAATAACATTCATTCAACAAATACCTTTCTATGTATTGTTATCTTATTTTTGGGTAAATATAAATATCTTACGTTGATCAATATTTATCTTGGTGCACTATGTCAATTCATTAAAAAAAAAATAAAATGTTTCAAAGTTTTTATTCAGTCATGTAGTAGTTGGAAATGTTATTAGAACCACAGCAACTAACATTTTATCTTTCGTTCTACATCATAGATTATGAATAAATGGATGAAGAAGAAAAGAAATATAGAGATCATTCCATTATAGATCATATTGATGACCTCAATTTGAACTTGTAAAGAATGAGATAGAACAGAGAAAAAGATAGATGTGTGATATGTTGCATTTGATTATACAAATATAGGCCAACTTAAATATTATGTTAATCATTGTGCACCATATACGACGGACAGACATGAATACAATAAATAGAAAACGAGTTTTGTATGTCATTATCTTTTTGATTACATCAATCTCATATCCTAATGATTAATGGTCAAGATAGATCTAGTAGACCATCTCTACTGATCAGAAAAATCTAACGTTTAATAAAGCTATATGTTCTAAAGACTAATGAATTCATGATAAAAATCTTATTCTGATGAGCAAAATCTTAGCTTAACTATAAAGACTGTTGTTCTTATTATAAAAATACATAAAACTATCGTGATGTAATTATTTAAAAAGACTTATTCCAATAGAGTGAAATGTTGTCGATGTGTTCATTGAACAATCTGATTTTGTAGGCGATGGTGATGACCAAAACTGTAGATTTGATGCTAAAATTTTTATTTAGTGATTTTTCTCACATAAATATGATTGTTTTCAAATTGATTACATATTCTGCAATTTCTTTGAACAGACTGTTTAACCATGAGAAGATGTCTAACGAGGGAATCTCTCCAGGTGTCAAATCACTTTTCAACCAAGATGATGTTCGTTTGATGAGCACTAGTGATTAATCGAAAAATCTAGAATGGCTTGGTTATCTAAATCTTATTCTTGAGATATCGAAATTTTACTGAATTTTTCAATAAAAAGACTGCGATCACCGTAGGTATCGTGCAAGATAGACTCCTGAGTTTCGACTTCCAACTTTGCATGAACAAGGTTCGCAATAAGATTAATTCATTGGGAAAGTTGTAGCATTGTTAGTATATCCTATTTAGAGATATGAAATATTCGAAACTCTTCATGAGAGAATTCTTACGCTATCAGAAGGATGATGGAAAATGTTTTTCTTTGTTACTATTTCAAAAATGATTCTATCATTTTTCTTGTGAGGACTTGTAGTAAACTTTTCGAAGCAATAAACATTGACGAAAATATGATTTCGTTATGAAGTTTTTTACTTTTTCAAAAGGTATGTTCTTACATTTTTTGAGAGCTCTAACCTATGGTACAAAAGTATTATTATAAAATAGGGTGCTCATTTTTTGACGACTAAAAGGCAGCTGGTCGAAACTAGAATATTTCGCTCTATCTGAATATATTTTCAAAATTTCCTGCTGACATCAAGTTGAACAACTTTTAGTAGACTTTATGAAAAAGTTTTAAATTATGTCTGTATAAAGCAGAATGAGGGTATTGACGCAGTCCTTAGTTTATGGCTCAACTCAATATTTTTGTAGAGGCTAGATTCTGCACAAAATGGGATATTACAATAAACAAAATCTATGGATTTTCACTAATAAGGTAGTTTATATGGAAACCGGCATTGGTTAAAAAGTTGGTGTTTAAAAAAAAGCTTTTAAAAATATTAAAATTTTAAAATTTATCATGGGAAATTCAATAGCATGTTTGATTGAACAAACTTTTTTCTAAAAAAAAACAGTCATTAAGAACTGTTTTGCGTTTTGAATTTGATCGGTTTCAGTCGAAATAGAAACTGACCAGAATAGTATTCTGTACAATTACTCTATTTTGAAACTTTTGAAATAATCTGATTATAATTGTCCAATTTTACTACATGAGGAAATTCTTTCAAATAACAAACTTCGTTCAAGATCATATCTTGCTGATTATTAGAGTCTATTTTCTAGATAAAAATTCTAAGAGGATGTGTGTCATTGGCACTTTCTTCTTCATCTTATGATTAATTTATTGAAATTGTCAGTCTATTATAGAATATTACGAGATACACTAAACCAAAGAGTTTTGTCTTAAATTTTAGCTGAAGATAGATATCATGATCCTTATGATATTCTGTAATTTGCAACAAAAATAGATAGCTTCTTCTTCAGATATAGTATACTAAAAGAAAATAGATTTTCTCGAATCGTTTATGAGAACGGCGCTTTTTTGCAATTCTTTTATCTAAACACAGAAGCATTCGTTTCTGATAAAGGTCACAGAATATGATAAAGACTATGAGATCTATTTTTTACTAAAATTTCAGACTGAAATTCTTTGACTCAGTTTTCACAGCAATATCCTAGAATAGGCTGAACATTTAGTAGAATGATCACAACTCAAGAAGAAAATATAAATGACATATGCCATCTTGGAATTTTTATAATGTACAATGGACCCTAAAGATCGCTAAAACATAACAATTTGAAAAGTTTTCTCGCTCGCAGGAACTTTTAAATACATTCGAAAAGATCGAAAAAGTTTGATTCTAACTAACCGCATCTGGCTCTTACCAATAGTCTTTAAGTAGCCGAAAAGAATGAATGTTTTGTGCTGATACTTCGACGCTATAGACTAGTTGAGTCAACTAGAAATGTCTTCCAAATGATAAATCACTTTTGAGTGGAGACTATCTGCATTATCTATACCCAAATGAACTATGATTAGCCTGACAATAATTCGTGTTCAAAGCTTTTTGGTACAGAGATACTGCACTTTTACAGTATTTTTAAACAAATGCCATAGTCGCTCTAGGACTCCAAAAATACTGATTTTAGAATTCCAACTTGAAGTTTTTATGTGAAGACAGACTTGAATGAAAGTAAATTCAGGTCTTTTGGTTCTCTACTATCCTGAGAGAAGAACATAATATCTACTGGTTTATATGAGCGATCTAAATGACACACTATAGCCATCGTTGTATCTTAAGATAGGAACAGTAACAAGATCTGAAACATTCACAAAAACTATTCTGGTTAAAGTCTGTCTCTATGAAAATCTTCAAGTCGAAATTCGAAAATCAGTTTCTCAGTTTGGTTGTAAGAGTTCAGTATCTTCACAGCAATAAACTAAGGACGTGAACTGTTTTCAACGTATTCATAACTCATTTTGGTCTAGAGAATGCATCTAGTCTCGACTCAAAAGCGATTTATCATTCAGAGAATCTCCCTCTTAAGATTTTTAACAATTTGTTGAATGTAATTTCTGAAAATTTAAACTTTATCTGATTTCATTCTTTTGAGATATTAATAAAACCAAATGAGAAAATGTGATTATCATTGTCACGTCTAACGAATATTTTAATAATGAGATAAATCACAATAAAAATATCTCTATGAAAACTTTAAACAGCAAAAATCATTTTCTTTGTTTTACTTCAATCATCCATAGAAAACATTCTTCTCTCATAATAGATCTTCAAATAATTTTATTGGTGTTTCTTTTCTTTTCTTAGATGGCACAAATTAGGTTCTTGTTTTTTTTTTCTCTCATTTTGTGTCAAACACTCTTCTCTCATATCGGACATAAAAAAAAAACCAAACAACATACATATACAATAAAGTAGAAAGAAATCAAACCGTACAAAGAAAGAGAATATATAGAAATGTCTTTTTTTGTCTCATAGATAATACAATTAAAATCATGAAACCGCTACGTACGTAAGTTTTCTTAATTTTTTCAATACATGAAACCAAAAAAAAACAAAACGGTAAACAATGATATTCGCCGAAAGACTAACCATAATACAAGATAGAATAGGTTTGTTTTTGTTGTCGGCAAAGATGAGATTGTAAAAGAAAACCAAAAATTACAACACAAATCATCTCTCAAATCTAAGCAATTGTCGAAATATATCAGCCATAAAACAAGCATCAAAATGAAAAACAAAAAAAAAAAAAAAAGAAGCATAAACACAATACAACAGAGAACAATGAAATAAAAATCGGTAGAGAAGAAAAAAAAAGAAATTCTTGTTGTTGTTGTTTGTTTTTTTTCCGTCATGCAAGATGCAATATTATGCACCGGAATAAAGAGAGAGAATACATACACACAAAAACAAAAGAACTGTACAACATCGACTATATTTTGTTTTGTTTTTTTTATTTTCAATTATGATTTGTTAGTTGTAGCTGATGCACTAGCTGCATTATTTTCTTGTTGTTTTTCACCAATATTTTCTCCACCCATTTGATATTCAGCAACATAAAGTGCTGGATCAATTTGTTTTGGTATTGGTTGAATTTCTGTACCTAATTCTTGTTCAATTTTATGTAATGAAAAACGATCTTCATATGTAATGAGACTAATTGCAATACCATAATGACCATAACGACCCGAACGACCAATACGATGTCTATTTGAAGAAGAAAAAAAAACAAATAGAGAATTTCTTTTTTCGACTATTATTATTATTTGTCATTTTTACTTACAAATATGTTTCACTTAATTTTGGAAAATCAAAATTAATCACAACATTAACAGCTTGAATATCGATACCACGTGTAAATAAATCCGAACAAACAAGATTACGACAAAGACCAGTACGAAAATCATGAAATACACGATTACGATGATCTTGTCGCATTTTTGAATGTATATAATAACATGAATAACCAAGATCAGTTATTTTTTTAGCTAAAAGTTCAACACGTTGTGTTGAATTACAGAATATAATAGATTGATTGATTTGTAGCTAGGAAAGATATATTTATTAGAATAAGAGACAATTTTGTTTTTAAAATTTTTACTTTCGAAAATAATGTATTTAAACAATGGACCTTTTGACGTTCTTGTACAAATGCATAATACTGAGTAATACCTAAAAAGAAAACAAATAGATTTTTCTAATTATTATTCATACTGAAAGTTCGCGATTGGAGAGAATAAAGGAACTTCTTTCTTCCACATTTTACAGCTTCATAGTAGCTTTAGACAAAAATTTGAAAAAAACAAACAAGCAGACAATATCGTTGCGAAGTGAATGAAAATGGAGATGGGATAACCTGATGGAAGGTCGTCTGTTATAAGAGAGATTGAACCATGATGAGTTTCGTTCTTTCCATCCCGATCATCACTTCTAACATTTCGTGAATGAAAGCACTTTCTGCGAACTTTTCGATTCTCTCCTATCTCCAAAAAAAAAAAATCAACGATTTTATTCATATAAGATTTTCTGAAAATTTCATAATGAGAATTTTACTAGAATTCTCAAAATCAAATCGATGCATGATTTGCGAAGTTTTTATTGACGTCAAGGACAAATAAGTGTATAAGTGAGAAAGAATGTTGATGAAGAGTGTACTAGTAGTTTGATTATTTGAGAATATAAAAACTGAGACAATGTTATGGTTTATGATTTGGTGGCATATTATAGACCTATTCGAGGAGCCTTGTTCAGTTATCGTTCGCTTTTGAGATTATTGTTAGATAGGTCTTATTGATAATAGAAAAAGCATGAATGAATTTCTGTCAATGGCTTTTTTCTTCTTAAGTTACGATTATTTTAGTGAATTTTTCAAGAAAATCATGTAAGTGCTCTGCAGTTTACCTTTAAAATGTGCATAAATAAACTTCTCAACGGAATCAATTCATTATGAAAATATTCGACTTTCTAATATTTTTTCTTTTCGAATACTAATATTGAAAATTTTGATACGGTGTTTATGAATCCGAATAGAAAGTCTCATACTTTCACAATAATCTTTATTTCCTTATGAAATTTATGGAAAGTTTCAACTCGAAAGTCGATTATGAAAGTAATTAGAAAAGGATCGTAGTATTTTGTTCAAAAACCCATTAAAATGGCCATAACTCAAAAAAAAAAAGATCCATAAATTCTTTTATGCTTTGCTTTTCCTTAATATAAGCTGTTTAATGATGTAAAAAATCATCTAAAAAAGCTTTTTTTATAACTAAGCAAAGTTCTTTCACAAGCATCGCTAAGTGTTTATATCGTTTTTCTTAATTAAACTTGATGTCGAATATGTATATGTAAGCATAACCGTAAAAGTCAATGACTGTTTAATAAACGTCTAGTCTTGATTAGTAAGGTTTTAGTTCCATTTTCTTTTCTTACAGAAAAGACATAATATGGTTCCTGACAAAATGACAACCAATTCATTAAGACTAAACCAAATATTTGAAACAACATTGCTCTTATAGTCGATAGAATCAATAGCTAAAATATTTTTTCTATGCATATATACCTTTAAGTGTTAATTCTTCCATAAGATTTATTTCATATGGATTACGCATATGTTTTTTAATAAAATCATCAACAGTTAATGGAAATGTTGCTGAATATAACATAATTTGTCTGTCTTGTGGTAAATGATAAATAACATCATCTAATAAATGATTAAAATCTTGTGAAAGTAATTTATCAGCTTCATCCAATACAATTACACGACATGAATCAAGTTTAGCTAAATCTTTTTGAACTAAATCTAATAAACGACCAGGTGTTGCTATAATAATATGAACAACTTCTTGTAAACGAGCAATATCTTCACGTACAGATGCACCACCTGTTGTAACCATAACACGTAAGTGTATATGTTTAGATAATTCCATACAAATAGCACTTGTTTGTAATGCTAATTCACGTGTTGGAACTAAGATTATTGCTTGAATAGCATTTTTATTTGGATCAATTCGTTCAACAATCGGTATAGTATAGGCACCAGTTTTACCTGTACCATTTTTAGCACGAGCAAGAACATCACGACCTGTTAGCGCTATTGGAATTGAATGTTCTTGAATAGGAGATGGTTTTTCCCAGCCTTTTTCATAAATTCCTACAACAAAGAAAAGTTTTTTTTTTTTCTTGTTAAAGTAATAAGAAATGATTTTTTGTATTTTTACCCATAAGTAATTCTCGTTTAAGACAATAATCTTCAAAATCATGACCACTTGTATTTGTAACATCAGATGTTCTAGCACGACGATCTTTTTCTGGAATGTTTAATTTTGATTTCCAATCGGGATCATCTTTATTAATTGTTGTTATTGAATTTGTTGTAGATGTATTACCATTATTTATCTTATTTTTATCACTACCATCTGTATTTGTTGAAGAAAATGGTAATGATGACGAAGTTTTACCTCCTGTCGATGAACCAATCATTATTGAATAATAAACACAAAAGAGAAACAAATGAAACAAAATATTATATGTACAAAGTTAAATGAATGTTTATATCAAAATTCTTTTTCTTTTATTTCTTTCTTTTGTGAATGAATTGTCAATTCAATCGCAGATATGTTGATATCTAAAGTAGAATATAAACGTTTTCTTATTTTAATGTTTATCGTATCTTGGTTTTATCCATAATATAAAAAAAAAAACGTTTTAATGCAAGAACAAGAATAACAATCGATCACAAAAAAAAAATACGTAGAATAAAATTTTGCACACACACACACATATATATCATATCTGATCTTAGAAATCATGAACGTTTGCTTTTGACTAGTAAAACACACACACACAGCCAAAAAAAAGATCTGACTGTTCATTGATCTAATTATTGTTGATGTTGTTGTTGTTGTTCTTCGGATAATTGTTCAATAGCTGGTGCTTTAGCCACATAAAGATTTTCATCAATGTGACGAGGAATTGGTAAAATTTCTGTACCTAATTCTTGTTCAACTTTGTGTACAGCAAATCGATCTTCATATGTTATTAAACTGACTGCTATACCCAAATGACCAAAACGACCCGAACGACCAATACGATGACTAAATGTTTTTTTTTGTTTACAAAAAAAAAATTTAATAATTTTTTTTAATTTTTTTACTTACAGATAAGTTTCACTGTAACGAGGAAAATCAAAATTGATAACAACATTAACAGCTTGAATATCGATACCACGTGTAAATAAATCCGAACAAACAAGATTACGACAAAGACCAGTACGAAAATCATGAAATACACGATTACGATGTTCTTGTCGCATTTTTGAATGTATATAGTAGCAATTATAACCTAATTCAGTTATTTTTTTAGCTAAAAGTTCAACACGTTGTGTTGAATTACAAAATATAATAGATTGATTGATTTGTAGCTAAAAATTAAAAAAATTATGTTTCTTAAATTAAATTTTCAATAGATTCTTTAAAATACCTTTGAAAAAAGTGTATTTAAACAATGAATTTTTTGTTTTTCTTGTACAAATGCATAATATTGTGTAATACCTTTAAGTGTTAATTCTTCCATAAGATTTATTTCATATGCTTGTTTCATATGTTTACGAATAAAATCATCAACAGTTAATGGAAATGTTGCTGAAAAAAGCATAACTTGTCGATCATTTGGCATAGCATATAAAAGTTCATCAAGTAAATGATTAAAATCTTGTGAAAGTAATTTATCAGCTTCATCCAATACAATTACACGACATGAATCAACTTTAGCTAAATTTTTATTAACTAAATCTAATAAACGACCAGGTGTTGCAATAACAATATGAACAACATCTTGTAAACGTGAAATATCTTCACGTAATGATGTTCCACCTGTTGTAACCATAACACGTAATTGTATATGTTTAGATAATTCCATACAAATAGCACTTGTTTGTAATGCTAATTCACGTGTTGGTACTAAGACTATTGCTTGAATAGCATTTTTATTTGGATCGATACGTTCGATGATCGGAATTGTATAGGCACCTGTTTTGCCTGTACCATTTTTTGCACGAGCAAGAACATCACGACCAGTTAATGCAATTGGAATAGATTGTTCTTGAACGGGTGATGGTTTTTCCCAACCTTTTTCATAAATACCTAAAATAAATATTATATTTTTTAAAGAAAAGAAAATGTTTTTTTTTATTCCTTAAATTCTTACCCATAAGTAATTCTCGTTTAAGACAATAATCTTCAAAATTATGTCCTTTAGTTGCAGTAACATCAGTTGTTTTTGGTCGATTATCTTTTGGTGGTAATTTCAATTTTTCTTTCCAATTTGGATCATCAAGAAGTGATTTTATATTTGTATTAGACATGCTAACATTAGTTTCGATAATTGTTGTTGATGTTGTTGTTACAGTAAGTTCTTCACTGTTGGTCATATTTACTGTTATAGACTATAAAATAGAGAATACAAGTTAAATGGAATAAAACTCGATAAATGAATGTTTATGAAAAATTTAAATCGGACGGACACTCGAAGAAAAAGAAAAAAGAAGAAATCGACTAGAATAGTCTAACGAGGTAATCTAGATATATATGTATATATATCTATGAATAGATTTTATTCTAGCTCCTATGTAATATCAGCTGTTTACATTCGAGTGCTAAATTTTGATGAGAGAGAAATGATGAACGAACAGAGGACGAAATCATCACCCCTAGATTTTCTTTTTCTTTTTTTTTTCTTTATTCTGCAATCAATTATTTTATTCATGTGAATGTCGATAGTCATTAGAAAAATATTTGAAATAAGAAAAATTACAAATAATACAAAAAACATTAAAATTAAAATTCATTATTTTTTTTCATTTATATTAAATATAAAGTTTATTCATATAAATATAATAAATGCATTATAACATAGTTATGCACTTGGTTGAACTTTCGCAAAAAAATAGAAATACGAAGTTGCTATAGATATTATAAAGTTAATGGCATAGAGACGCTATTTATTGTTGAAATAAACATTGTGAATTCGTTTTTAGATATGCTTGATTATTGTTAGAATCATACACGACTATTATTATTTATTTAATTCAGATTTTTATTATTGATATGGATTTCACGAGGGACATCTATTTGAACGAAATTCGTAAAAGTAAAATGTTTCTGCGATTTAATCTTATAAATTGACCTTTTTCCTGTGTCATAATGAAATTTAAAGACTGCAGTTTCATGTTTGAAAGTTGAGTTTATCAATCAGGAAGCGAGAAATGGAACGATTAATATGTAGTGCTAAAAATTATTTCTATCCTATGTATATTGCTATACTTTTGTTACAGAATATCTGACATCTGTGTTTATTAAAGAAGCTAAAGGCTGATGAATTAATATTATCTGATTGAAGAAACACTAAGTTCACTCTTTTCTTTTTTTGCTATCCGGAATAGAAAAATGCCTATCAGTTTTATCTTTTTTTATATATTCTTTTTAGTTTTTTACATATTTATGGTTAGCTTCTAATTTATTAGGTAAGTATCTGAAAAAAGTATAGTTTCTTATTATATCAAACACAAAAACAGAAACTCCATGACAAGAAAAATGCAATACATATAACAGTACAGCTATTGTGAGTACAAATGAAATAATTATAGGAGACGAAACTGATAATGTAGTACTATCTTGAGAGTGTGGATGTAAGTGTTAATCTTCTCTGTACTCATTCATTCACACCCTCTAGTTTACCTTTGATTTATATAGAACATAGTTTTGAAATAGACTTATATACTATCGCAAAGGAAATTTTTATCGAGAAAAAAAATATATTTTGAAAATAAATCAACTGATTAATCGAAGACTTAGACTATCCATATTCATGTCAGAAAGAGGCAGGAACTATACTGATTCTGAAACTCCATCGGTGACTTAAACACTCTAATTGAATGATCAAAATACAAATGTTCTCTTAAACATTGTTACTGAAAGTTCTAGCCGGTCTAAGGTTTAGAATAACCTAAAATGGATAAGTTTGAAATAAATATTTTATGAATACATTTATAATAAACAATATTTCCATAAAAAAAATTCGGCTCAATGCAGAAATGCCCAAAGGAATTTTTTCATTGAGACAGAGTGACAGTTCACCACAAAAAAAAACGTATGTTTGAGAAACTATCTTATAGATCTCCATTTTTTCTTGCTACTGTGTCTCAAAAGAGCATATATCCCTTAAGTATATACTATAATACATTAGACTTTTAATATATAAATTGTCTAATATATGATGGTTGTTGTCTAGACCTGAACCTGCTCTATCAATAGATATGCAGAAAAACGAACAATTGATTTTTTTTATTTATTTTTTATTGATAAAAAAAGATACTTTCACCCAATATTATTTTTTTTTTATTATTGAAGATAACATTTCCAAGCGTTAAACATAAACAATGAACTGGAATATTTTTTTGTTTAGTTTGAATATAATTATGTTTTTCTTATTTTTTATTATTCAAAATATGTTATTTAGTATTAGCACATGCACTTTCAATTGAATCAATATCAGTTTTATCCAATGCATCCTTTGCTTTCTTGTCCTTTGGATTGTCATCATGCAAATTTGAATAAAATTGATTGTAGCATTTCAAAGCCTCCTTATATCTTGAACAATCAATGGCCAGATAATCTTTCATGTTATCATTATCATCGTTATATGATTGCACTTGGTCACGAAATTCATTACATTCCGTTATGTCCCCAGGCGCGTGTTGAAATAAAGCATATTCAAATGCTCTTACGTTTGCTCTATTAGTAATGGATAAATTATCCGTAAAACATATAGGAATTATTATTGTAGTAATCAGAAAAACCCAATAGATACTGAAAGAAAAAAATTTCAAGTATAGATACAAACAAAGATTCTACTTACTTCATTGTTAATGTTCGATTAATTTTTCTGCCTATATCAAATTCTTTTGCATGCCTTTATATATATTTTTTTTGTTAATGTGATAGCAGCTGTAACTAATGTTTTGCTATTTTTTTAGATAAACTATTTTGTACTTATCTTTTCTTCTAGAATAATAATGAGTTCACCATCATTAATATCACCATTAAATAAATCACGTACATCTGACGTGAAACCAATTCGTCTTCAATTAGATCCATTACGTTTACATGAGCCAGCTCGTTCAAAATTATCAACTATTGAAACACAACGTATTATGATTGTTTTTGATGATCTTGTACAAAACATGGAATTAATTGAAATACTACCTGTAATTGCTTTACATACAGATTTATTTAAATCAATTATTGATATGTATGATTTTTTGGATCTTAAAATTTAATTTTAATTTGTAAATAGATACTTATTTACTTTAGAGAAACAATGAATGAAATACATAAACATGAACAATTAAAACAAGCATATGAAACAAATGCACCACTTCAATCGGTTTCGAATATTATTGGTAAAATAATAAGAGTTTCCTTTTTTTTTTTCAAACTAATAAAAATCAAAAAATTTTCTTTAGAAAAATTGCCACAATTTGAAAATTATGCACGTCGTTTTGATAAATCATTATCACATAATGCTAATGAAAAAATTGCCTATCATTATTATATTCAACAATCAATTCGTAATGTTCTTCGTCGTCTTCTTCATCAACAAAATCGTTTTGATGCTATAAAACGTATTTTACTAAATAATAATTTATTACCACAACAAAAAGATATTATGCGTTTGTATTATAAAAGAATATTTTTAAGTATTTCTTTGTTTCTTTATATATATATATATTTATTTAGAAGTACTAAAAATGTTAAGAGAATCTGCAATGGAAAGATTTTTAACAACACCTCTTGAAGAACGTGAAAAATTTGAACAAATGAAAAATTTAAATACACGTCTGTCATCTAATGAAGCTATTATTGCTAAACTTGAAAAAGAACTGAATGATGCTATCGCTGAGCGTGATGCTGAAGTAAGTCGCCAATGGTTGTATTTTCTTTCAACGTATTTTTCATCATTGAATGATCACATCTGTCGCGTATATAGTTATTATTAACCATTCGTCCTTTGATGATTATTATCTTTCTTTTCATCTTTATTGCTATACAGAAATATAATACGATAGAAGAATATCATAATAATATGTTGAGGATTATAGTGATGAATTTTGTAATGGTCGGTTTTTAATAGATTGAATTAATTTTAAAATTGGATGTATAATTCCATAAATAATAACACGTAATACTAATACATTAAATAATAATATCATTGAAAGAAATTTTAAATTAAATGAATATGAATCAATTTTCCAATGAAGAAAAACATGAATAAAAGCAATTAATAAACAGAATGATCCAAGATAAGATATTAAAAAATGATATTCATTCCATGAAAGACGTTCACTAATCCATGGAAAATGAACATAAGATAAAATAAATAATAACATTAAAGTAAATATACCAAAAAAGAAACCATACATGAATAATTTTGAATTAACATCAATTTTAGAAAAAATTAAAAATATCATATGTAATAAAGCAAATGCTAATGAATACCATACTAAATAATGTTTTGTTTGAAGCCAACATTGAATAAATGTTAATTTTGATATAACATTTTCTAAATACAAAACAAAACAAAAAACAAACCTTTTTAAAGACAAAAAAAAAAAAAACATTAATTACTATGATTTACCATGAATATTTTGTCTTTTTAATAATGTTAAATAAAGAAATTCAATTAATTCAAATACTGGTCTTATTAAAAATAATAAAGCTAATATTATTATACTAGTTGATGCTGTTATAGAACTGGCTTGACGATAGATTAATACTGTAGTTAAACTATCATGATTATGTTCTATCATTGTAAAAATAAAACATAAACTAAATATAACTATTGTCAATATCAATGGAAATAAACAATGACGAAATGTTTTTATTTGTTCATAATTATATGAATATTGATCAAGAAAAAAAATTCCACGTGAAAAACAATTTAAATCATAAATAAATTTTACCAGATTTAATGGTGGAAATTGTTCAATGGCAACTCCAATACGTTTTGTACCATTTTCAATTTCCCAATTAGATAAATTTCCAAAAGCTCGATATGAACCCGGAATAGATAATAATGAATGAGAATTTTTTTTCGAAAAATATTTAATATATATTTTTCGAGCATCAATTATTAATTGTGATTTATCTTGAGGAAATAAATCATCAAAATTTGTTGTTAAATCATCAGTTATAAGAACAATTGTTGGTGATAATTGATAAAATGTTTCATATGATATATAATTTGATTTATCATTTAGATCATTTTCATTTGAATTTATATCACATAAGATAGGTTTTGGAAATCCTGATAATAAAAGACGTTTTGTAAATGCTTGTGAACGTTTACTTCGACCAATTATACCAACTAAAGGATGAAAATTAGTTGTTGATTGTTGTAGATTATTATCATAAATAGACATTAATGATTTTCGCTTTTTATCTAATAAGGATGGAATATCATCATGACGATCTAAATTTTAAAATTAATATTAGAATAAAGAAAAACTGATTTACTTACGTATTTGATGTGATAAAAAATCATCTAATGGATATTTTTCATCAAAATTTATGTCTATATATTCTATTGTTGATGATAAGGGTTCATTGGTATTTGTTAATGATAAACTTTCAGACATTTGCATCATATCTATTGATGAATTTTGATCATATAATATTGTATGCATATTATTCTCGTTTTAAAATGATAGATAAACAGAACAGAACAAATCCAGAGAGAGATGCAAATGATAGATAAAGAAAGCTTAATAAACCTACTCTTTCTAAATGTGTCGTTTTTTCTCTTCTTTCTTTCTCGTTATAAAGAGGTCAAACGGACACAAGAGACACACCGGAAATAGAATAGTTAACAAAATACGTTATATTTCATATTGCATGCACACAAGTCGACCCTAACATCTGTCTATATATGTTTCTGTATCCTTGATAATATATGATTAATCAGACTAATACATTAAAAGCATAGGATAACCTCAATCGTTAATATGTATGTTTATATTCACTATGATCCTTCACCTATCACTCGAATGAATGGAATAAGATAAAAGGGATAGTAAAGTGCTCATAATTATTCTCTTTTATTGTCCTTGTGTGTCACTAATGAAACCTTTTGATTGTTTATAGATCAAAGCGCGTAACGATGAAATTCGAAAGATTCAAGCAGATCTTAATAATGTTGAACGTAATCAACAAGAAATGCTTAAACGTATTCGAATGGAAACAGAATCAGCTGAAATATCAGAAACAAAAAATTCTGAAGGAAGACGGTAGAATTTTAATTAAATTTTTTTGATTCATAATTTTTGAAAATAAAAACATTGTTTTTTTTTTTTTTGTGTTTGTATTTTAAGACATAAGTTACAAATGGATATAAATATGTGTCGACAAAAATTACAAGAACAACAACAACGAAATAAAAAAACAGAATCTGATTTACGTAAAGAGAAATGGCGTCAAGAAACAGGGTAATACAAAAAATGTTTCATTGAATCATTTTGATATCACGATTGATCTTGTTTTATTTTGATATTTTTTTTCGTTTTTACACATTTTTATTTTCAATCATAGTAACCTGCTAAGAGAGTGTTTCATGATATCGATTTTTATATAGGTTCATTAGGAATTCATTTATTTTGACTACAAGTATTTTATTCATTGAATATGAATCAAATAAATTGAACAAGATTAATCATTTTATCTCTAGATGAATGTATTCAACATAAATTACTAGTTGTCAAAAATTAAATGATTCAGTGTATACGTGTTTAATGCAGTATGAAAACGAGAGAAAATGAATACAATGTTATTAACAAATCTTCTTAATCCATAAGTATAAGGAGATTGTTCGAGAAAAAGAAATTATTGATGTCATATTAAGGGCCTCTCCCCCCTCAAAAAAAATCAATTTTGGTCAAATTTATCGATTTTGTGATTTATAACTCATTAGATAGAGCAAAGTGTCTACTCTCGAATGCACTATAGTTGATTGATTTTATGATGAGCTTTAAGAATATTACATAAGTTTTTCTGAACCTCCATATTGGAAAAAATAAGGCTTTTAAAAACTTATTTTCCGTTTTTTCTCAAAATCGGTTTTTTGCGAGTATACCGTTTACGCGGGCACGCTTTGCTTAATAACGACTCAATAGAGAAGGAATAATTTTTTCTTATTACATAGAGGACAAGTGAGGCTAGATTCTAATAGAGCCCGATTGTTGAATTTCTCTTCTGCTGAAATAAAAAACTTGAATCTTTCGTTTTGTTTAGCAACTTTTTTGACCATGAATTCGAGAATTTTTCGAAAAACGTTTTTTAAAAAACAAACGAAGAGAAATTCAAAAATCGGACTCTATTAGGATCTAGCCCTAAGGATACTCTACAATTTAAAAACCACGCCGACATGGTTAGTTAATATCCTCATGTTGAAAACCTTGCCTGCGTAAAGGGTATTTTTGACCAATGAATCGACTAGAACTTGTGCATATCTTTGAGATTTGGAGGAGATATTTTAACCGTAATCTATCCTAGCCTAGACTAACATTCTCTGAAATTTTGGTTGAAATCGGATGAAAAATAACAAAGTTGATTTCTGAGGGGGCTTTAATGTGTAAGCCGATATATAGATCAGCTATAGTTGATCAGTTTACATCTTCATTTTTAAACACTGATTGTGAGTATCTTAAAAGATTCGATAATAGGATCTATTTAATACGAGTTTAAACTTTCCAAAATACAAAAGGTTTTAGAACTTATGCTAAATCAATTAAACATGATCTATTTTTTCTTTTTTTTCTCTTAAAGACTTGAAACATGGTTAACAAAATATGATAATGAAATGCGTCAAAAACAGGTAGATATTTTATCTTGTAAGAATATTTAATAATTTAGTGGACTAATAAAATCTTTTAGGATGAATATGATGAAATTGAAACTGCATACACGGAAGAAAAACGTTTACTTATAGAGCTTGAAGAACGTTTTGAAAAATTAAAAGAAGAATATGATAAGGTATTAAAAAATTTTTTATACGTTTTTCATATTAAAGGAAAACAAAACTTTTTTTTTTGCAAAGATTATGGCTGAACGTAAAGCTGAAGAAGAACGATTGGCCATGGAGAAGGCATTGCGTGAACGACGTTGGCAAGCAGCTGGACATATTCAACGCTTTTGGCAAGGTTATAAAGTTCGAAAGGTAAACTTTAACTTATAGTTTTTTGTTCAATATTGATTAAATTAATATATATATATACATATTCAGGGTCTCAAAGCCAAAAAGAAAAAGAAAGGCAAGAAAAGTGGCAAAAGCAAAAAATGAACAATCAAACGTTTATTTTTTATATATTATTTCTTTTTATTTTCAACTTGTCAAAAAATCAACTATACCGACATCAAATAAACGATTGAAATAAAGAAAAATAATAGAAAAATTGTAATTCATCATCATCAACATGTGTAGAAGCTGTATTTGATAAACGTGATATCCATGCTTTTTCTTTTATATGACTCAATTTCTGTTAGAATGATCTCTATTAAAGGAATACATGAATCTGCAGTTTAATCGTTGATTGAACTTGTATTATTATTGAAAAACATACTGAAAATTGTTTGACCATGTGAAATACATGCATGAGAAGAATCAGAACAGTGTTCATTTATAATTGAAATAAAGTGATGTTCCTTGATTTGTCTTAACATACAACAATCAAAAAACGAATAATACCAAATGTTGCGAAGTGTTTGAAAACAAAATAACTTATTTTACATATACTTCTATATCGATAGATGATAAATTATTTTTTTTTCGAATCATTCATCTTCGAGATCTCTACAAAAACTTTATGAAAAACAAAATCCATTTGATTTGTTCTAATGTACTTTTATAAAACTCAATCAAAATAATTTGTGAACAATTTTTACTTTCCGTGATACAAAATCGAATAAACTACGGCAAATCTTGACTAGAAAATTCTAAAAAAAAACGGAATTAGGAATCCATTAATAGGGTTTTTTCAGTTCTGATCGAAAGGCATTGTTACTCGATAGAAATATTCAATTAATATTCATTGTTTCATCTAGAATTTCTACAAGTTTTACATAGTTTTTGAAAAGACCCATGGTGAAATTGTTCATAATATTTAAAGTAAAAATTACTCTCGATTCTGATCAATTATGAGACAGTTAATAAGATGTTGGAGCATGTGTGAGTGAAAAAAAGATCCATGACCACACACTTCATTACTATCTATGATAGCTCAATGCGTTACTTAGTTGAGAGACCATCGAGACTTTGTTTTTGAGAGCTGTTTGAATTTCTCCAAGGCCTTGTACTCACTATCTGATACCATGTAATGCAATTCAACAGAAGTTCTTACGTTTTAATGAAATAATAAGATTCTTGATTGCATATATCATCTTTAGTATATGATGACTATCTGCTATCAAAAATTGTAAATCAATCACATACAATTCCTTCACAACTATCACCAATTGTAACTGTAACTGATACGAGCCATCTTATGTCTTATTGAATTATTTGTAAGAATGACTATTAGTTGTGATTCCTACTTCATTTTCGTATTTTTTAGGTATGAAATAAAAGCTATCTAAAAAAAGAAAATGTCTGCAAGAGGAAAGGATCAGAAAAAACCACAGTTTAAAGTTACACTCATATACATATAAATATTACGTGAGCTTCACAACCAGAATGAATATTTCGTCTGAATAAAGAAGACCATTAACCTATATTTCTAGCAACCTCAATATATTCATTTTTGAATATTTCTTTTAGCGATAAATTGATATCAATGTAGTATAATACAAGAGACAAAATCAATTTTTAACCACTATATTGATACAGCATTTTGAAAAGCATCATATATTCCTGGAACATTTAGAGATCGATGAACATACTGGAAGAGACAAAAATTATACCAATCAACCTACTGAAACTTGCAAGACATTAAGAAGTTCACTAGCTTATCTGTCGAATAATTTCACTGTTCATCTTGTCTAATTATCTTGTTATTCAATCTAACTCCACTGATTTTATAAAACCTCTAAATTAGATATTCTATTAACAATTTATTAAGCGTAATGTCAAAAATGTTGTATTTTATTTTGATCTTAACCGAAGAAATGAAGTGTTTATTGTAGTATTAACATAACTAGTATGTTCTAATTCACTTGAATGACTCATAACGACAATAAAAAATTCTTCGAATCAATCTTTCAATGAAGTTGAATAAATTCAAATAATTAAAGTTCATATTGATTCATGAGTTTATTGGACAAAAAATGTAAATTATAACGGGAAGGATAAAAAATAATGATTAAATAGTAAAAATGCCAAAATAAGATATTTCAACATCATATATTTAAAACAGTAATATTTAATACTCATATCAGAAGAAATTATCTTGCAATAATATATATAATTCACCAGCAGAGAAAAATGGGACATTTGCTGTTACGCTGTTTCTTTATTATGTTTCCTTGGATCGCTTGTGATAATTGCGCCAATAGCAACAAAACAAATATTTGTAAACGTGAACTGTGAAAACATTGATGATAGCCTATAGTTGAAAGTGTAAGAATATTAATTAAGCTTGTGTTGATAAGAATAAAATAAAAATAATGTACTTTTGAGCTTATGGGTGTGGGTGTGGATGTGGTCGAAGAGAATACTCACATCCATCCACTCGACCATACCCGCAAAACATTACTATTTTTATTTTATTCCCAATTGTTTAATATGTCCATTTATATTAGTTCTGTTATTTAAAATTGTACACGACAGTTGGTCAGGCATTATAATAGTTGGATTAAATTTCGTTTTGCATGCTCGAAAATGATTCTTGAAGTGATCAGAGTATTCTAAAGTGCAAAAGTTAATTCAAAGTTTCACTATTCTTTTCTTATTCTTATCTACTTAGTTTGTCGATTTATATTGATTGTATTATTAAATTTGTGACATTGAAGCTTTATACATGATGATGGCGAAAGCACGATCAGCTTTCTTTTCAATATCATTTAAATCAATGTTTTCTGAATATGATTCAATGCCGTTCGATGACATGATCAATCACAGAGGTGGATTGAACGATGATGGAAAAGATGATTGTGTACCACTCTTGAATAAATAAGAAGAGCAAATGTTTTTATTTAAAAAAAACCATATTCGTGTCGATAAATTTGAGATGGCAGATATTTGATAAAAAGTACTCTACAACACAAGACAATATAAGAGACAATACATTTGTACCTGAGATAGTAAAATTAAATGTCGTATTGGTTCAGGCTTAGGTTCATTTGTACTGGATATCGAAGTTAGGACAAGTTTTTCATTGATTATATTTTGTGAAGATTAATTGATGCTTGACGAACATTAACAACAATTTATTCTCCTCTAAAATTTATCAAAAATTTCATAAAAGGTTCACAATTATAGTTATTATATGTTAAAGAGCTGTAGGGACACTGTATAGTATACGATTAAAGCTCACGAAGCAAAGGAAGAAAAAACGAAAGAATATCGAATCTATTTCACTTTAGTTCTATAGAATTCGTCGATGAATGCAAATTTTTTTAAAAGTACACAGGATGAAAAAATTATCCTTTCCAACATTAGTCAAGACTTTCTCATGAATTTCTCTTTATAGTTAGATGATACTACTTAAATTTGATGCTGACATATTGCCATGGGGTGTGACACAAGTTTTAAGTTTATTTTTAAATTCTTTTTTGTGCAAATCAGCTCCCATTACGCTTTTATGACTATTATGAATGATGTTCTCGAAAACTCGATCTCAGTAAAAGAACTATGAGTTTGAACGAAATACCGATTTCACTTTACAACTTTGACAAATGATAATAACAATCCTCGATAAGTCCCAAGCCTTACGGCTTTCTCACTCACTATTTGTAAAATTGTTACTATTGGTTTTATGGATCATTACAGCGCTTACTTTAATAAAAGAGACGAAGCAGAGTAATCCCAATAATAACCATGCTGAATATTACGATTCAATGATGAGAATTCTTTTGTGTTCTTCTATATACAATATTAAATAAATCCATGTTCGATCAGCTTGGTGCTTTATTAATAAATACAGTTTCAAAGGATATAGTTAAACAAATTTTACCGTCATCATTACGAAACGAATATGTTGAATTGAAAACATTTAATTGTGTTATCAATAATGTCTTCTCTGGCAGCGGCTGAAAAAATAATAATCGACGAAACATTCTTTTCTTAAACTGAATCAAGAATAAAAAAAACGGTTTGTCTAATGAGATTGACAGTTCTATTAGACATCAAGGAATGAATTTATCATCGTAAATGTAGTTTTTATGCAGTCTGATCAAGACTAGTACTTAGTTTCTTATTCATTGTAATCGAAGGATCACTTTGTACTTATTCATTGAGTATAGAGCACAGACCGAATCGAACTAGGTTTTTTGGAGATCAAGTTTGGTTCGATTCGACTTCACTTTTCCAAAAATGGTTGGAGTCAATTTTTCGAAAACCAGTTCGGATTCGGTTCAGGTCGTCTTTGGAAAATCAGTTTGGGTGCGATTCGATTGAAGCAGCATTGGTTTCATCTGATCAAGAAAAGACTATAGGTCAAGATTTGTTTCTTGGACAATCAGAGATGTCACATTAGAGTTGATATTTGCACCAATTAACACTAATTCATATATTTGTAGATTAAAATAAATTTTTAATATTAATACATGAGCATCAGTAGTTTGTTAATATTGATATTAATCTTACATCACTATTCACAATCATTCATAACATTTTACAAAGATGGCGAAATTTTCGAAAGAAAAAAGAAAAGAATTATGTCTCATACAGGTGACTTATCATCATAAATACAATTAGTGCAACTCTTATGAAACGAAAAAAAGACTACTGCACCAATAATAAATTATGCATGTAAATCAATCAATAAAAGTTCGTTTTGTCTTCGTCGAAGACATCATATTTTCTGAAATCAATAATAGCTCAATCACCCAGTTTTCATTATAGATTAGGTTGCGTTGAACCATCTCTCAGAAAATTAGCTCGAGTTCGAATCGATTCGAGTACATTTCCAAAAAAATTGTTCAGGTTAGCTTTTGGTCTACGGTGTATAGTTCTGTGAGATAAAGTTTTGTTCAATTCCGAATTCAGTCTCTTTCGTTCCGTTTTCTTTTAACAATATCCCGATCCTGAATATCTAGCGGAATGAATAACAGTTTCTTGAGGATCTGGTGTGCTGTCGATCAATGGAAGATGTTATATGACATTTTGTAGATTTTTCTAGATGTCTTGTAGTGAACTTGACGAAAACACTATGAACATGTGGTGATAGCAGCTTTTATCATATCACAAGGATCTATGCCATGTTTGAAGAAGCAATAGAATCATACTTTATAGATGAAAATCTCCTATTGAAAAAAAACCAATAATAAACCTAATACAAACATATCAATGTTTGAAGAAAACTCTTACTTTATACTGTACTATTTTTATGCTTTATTTGTACACGAATACGAGTATAAGAGAGAAAACAATACATCTTGCCAAAATGGATTTTATAAGAAAATAAAACAAGATAACGAAAAGATAAAAAAATGAAGTATGAAAGCAAATGAAGAGAGAAAAAAAACATAAAAACAAGAAACAAAGTATAATCGTGAACAAATAAATAAAGAAATAAACAAATCTTTCAAGAGCATTTGAATGTGAAGGATGCCTTCCCTCCATTCACATCCTCAATCGTTATCAATCTGCCCTACACATCAAGAATTATCGAGGATCTATCGATTCTCAAATTCATTCAAATTAGATTTTGCTGCAGCCTGTGATCATCTTGTATATGATAGAGTATTTCCAACCATCAAATATCTCAGATCTTACCACAATGAGTTTTGGTTATCAGCACAATACAACAAATTGGAATCGTTTTAAGTCTTCTTTATAATCTTTTTATTGCAGACCATTCTCATCTATCTTATACCATCGAAATTGCTAAGAACATTTTCAAAAGAAAGGTTACCGATGAAGAACTCCAAGCTATATCCAATAATTTAAGGTTTGCGTTGTCAACATCAATATGATATTGAAGCATTTATTTGTAGTTTTGAGTGTTAGTTTGCCAGATTACAATGTTCAAAAAGTAAACCTCAATTTATATGTTTTGTTCGATATTAATTATATATATTCAAAGTCTCCAAGCTATAAAGACAAGAAGGGCAAGAAAAGTGGCAAAAGCAAAGCATGATCAAAATAAACGTTTATTTTTTATATAATATTTATTTTTATTTTCAACTTGTTAAAAACCATCTATGCCGAAATCAAATAAAAGATTAATATAAGAAAAAAAATGAAGAATCAATGAATTGATTTAAAGTTGCGTTTCATCATCATCATCATCGTCAAAAGTTGAAGGTGTTGTATTCGACAAACGTGATATCCATGCTTTTTTATGTGATGTACTGTGTCTTGGAATGATCTCCGTTAAAGGAATAGATGAATTTGACGTTTGATCATCGCCGAGATTTCTGTTATCATCGAAAAATGAATTAAGAATTGTTTGATCATGTGAACCATGTGCATGGAGCGAATCAGATTTTTGTTCATTTATAACTGAAGAAAAACGTTGTTCATTGACTTGTCTACACATAAAACGATCAAAAGAAACACATTACTGAATGTTTCAAAATTTCTGGAAAACATAATTTATTTTATATATATATATATATTTGCATAGATAAATGATAGTTTTGATTTTTCGAATGATGTATCGTTGAATTCTCTAGAATAACTTAATCAAGAAAAATATCTCTTTGATTTGTTCTAGTGTACTTTTATAAAATTCAATCAAAAACAGTGTGTAGACAATTGCTACTTGCCACGATACAAAACTGAATAAAGTAGAGCCGGTTTTCATTGAAAAATTCCAGATAATGATAGCAACATAAAGTAGAAATTTGTTTATTGAATTTTTTCGGTTTCGATTGAAAGCGATCGTTACCCGACAGAACTATTTATTTTACATGTATATTTCACCGAGAATTCATAAAGACTTGACATAGTTTATGTCGTGAAATGCTTCATAACAAGTCATAGTAAAATATGGTCTCGATTTATTCTAACCAATTATGTATGAGAGAGAAAGCCAATAGGACAGTTACATAATACACTGCTCGAGAGCTGCGGGCCGTTTCGGACTCAGTGGTGCTTAGATTGATAGCCAGATTTATTTTCAGATCCAGCTTGTATTCAGCTTCGAGTGTAAATAGAAAAAAGCTGACATCAACGTTCCTAGTAACTAAGTTTCCGGATACAATTCAACTTTAAAATGACTAGTTTTGTAAGAGTAGTTATAAATAGCTGAAATCTTAATTTGTTGTTTGCTTGGTCCGGATTGAAGTGGACAGAAATGCAGACTTGCAGGTCTCCCACAAATACTCCAGTTATTCATTGCAATAGTGAAGTAAAAGCTCTACAAGTGATAAGTTTATTATCGAAATCAAATTCATTATAGAAAAACTTATCACTCAATATTTTAATATGGTCAAAATAATTCTCCTGATGTTCGAAAGTTTTGAGAAAGGTGTGAAAATGAACAAAAGATCATAACTTGCTTAGATAGGCAAGTAAATTGAATTTCGAAGAGTGAAAATTATTCACCTTGTACAGTTTTTTTCTTAATCTTCTCAAAATTAATGAGAATAAATCAAGAACAGATCGAATTTTTCATATTTTGGACAACTTCAGTGTGGATCTTTTTAAAAACAAAATTAAAATTTTTTCAAGAGTTGTCTTTGACAAGACCAGTATAAAATAGATACTATTACAAACATTTCTGTTACTTTGCATATAACAGGAAGTATTAATTATTCACATCTTTCATTGTAGTATTTTTAAAAGTGCATTAGAAGAAGTAAAAATCTTTTTTTTTCCATAGGTATTGAGGAGAATTCGACGATGAACTTTGAAAAAATGCAGAGTTTGTCCTTTGGCTAGGCTGACTTATATACAAAATAATCTATGTTGAAAATATTTGGGGACACACAATAATATATAATTATTAAAATAGAAGACGAAATTGTTTAATGAAAGTTAAAATGTGAATTCCTCATACAAAGACGATGCATATGTCTCTGGGATCAAGTAAGACTAGCAAAGCAATAAAAGAATGTGATAAGAATAGAATAAAATTGATATGACTTTTTTAGTCCATTGAAAGACAAGAGAAAAGAAAAATACTCTAATAATTTAAAAATTATGTTTTAAATCTTGTGTTAAAATAGTTTACCTAATCGATCGAAATATAGGATTCATTTCTTTGGTAGTATTATATTTCATACTTGATTCTCTTGATATCTATGTCAAAAAAAAAAGAAGAAAATATATATTGACTTATAGAGCAATTTTCAATTTAGACAAACTTACAGGCCATGGACGTGAACTTTTAGTTGATCGAGTTTTATCTAAATGTGCTATGTTTCGTTTCCATCCATGAAATATTCGTAGTTTAGGTGCTATTTCGTTATTAATTGGAGATTGGTCAGAAGCATTTTCTTCCATTGGATTATAATGTTGAAATGAACGATTAATTGTTGGTGAACTTCGATCACCGGTAACTGTCACTGAACGTAATAATGGCAATGAAGAATGTGAATTTGATGGAGATTGCAGACACGAAGCATCTATTATATAGAATAGATATGAAGAGCAAAAATCAATAAGAAAAATCATTTACTAGCTGATATAGATGTTGTTGTTGTTGTTGTTGTTTGGTCTGTCTTTAATGAAAGACATTTGAACGTTGAATCTTCTGTCCGATTTTGCTGAACACGATCTAAAAGGAGTGTTGAAGTATAGGAGTAAAAATTTGGACGTCCCCCTTCCCTCACACACTACGATAAGGCATAACAAACGCCTTAGCAACGCTTTCCATTTTTGTCACAGACTATGTGTCAGTAACGTCTCATTTTAACATATGGACTACTTCCGTATTGCATTTCTAGAGGAGTAAGTGTGAAGATAGTGAAGAAATATATTCCGAAATAGATGGAATAAAGTAACTGTTCTGTAGCTAGGGGATCCACGAGAAATTAAATTTGTTTCGGTTTAAATTAAAACTTCTCAAGTTACTGTGACAGTCATTAGTTTCACTTCTTTTAGTTCCGTGCCATCCTATACTCTCTTTAGCCCTTTTAAGATGTGTGTAGTATATAGACCTTGTCCTCATTCACACATACATTTTGTCAGATTTATGCTTCCTATTGTTAAATCTGTAGAAACGGTGTGAGTATAAAAAATTAAAACAATATATATTTAATTTCTCATGGATCCATACAATGATTAACAACACTAGCTACATGATCTTTCGTATTGTAATCCTACGGGAATGGCAATAACAGCTTTTCCAACATATCACGATATGAAAATTTATTAAATAATAATTAATAACATAAAATGATTATTACAACTTACAAATTAATTTGAATTCTTCATATTCTACCTTAAATTCGTTGTTATCTTCATAATGAAGATCTCCCGTTCAGCTATGTAATACTTGCGAATTTACATTAAACTAAAATCTACTTTTTAATATAAATTCTTCCTTTCTTTTGACTGTATCGAAATTTAAACTAGCATCGATCTATCTATATGAGTACACCATGTTTATGTTTGAATAATAGTAGTCTTGTAAATGCTTAAATGAAACTGATTTTCTTACCACCACATCGAATTCTATATCGAGCATAATACGTTTCAAGTATGTTTAAAGCTTCGTTTGCTCGGATCTTTTTAGGCCTCTTTTTCCATGATAAATTTAAATTTGTATCACTGAGTTGCTGTTGTGAAAAATGAAACGTATTTGTTGTTGGATTATTGTTTGGTCGTCTATCATGCATAGAATTTGTTCGTGTTGTAGTATCATCATTATTTTTCATTTGTTCACGTGTTTCAGTATCAAGTCGAACTTTTTCTGTAGTTGTCGGATGTGTATCATAAACATCTGATGCTCTTGACTCATCTAAATAAGGAGAAAAAATAAGTAAATAATTTATAGAAACTTTATCTAAAAAAACAAGATCTGACGCAAAACAATGAACATAATTTACAGAGCGTATCTGATAAAAATAACTGTATTAAGAAATATCATATTTTACTCCTCGTAATAAGATGATTACTTTCGAAAATTATACAGATTCGTTCAGTGTAGGGTTCAAACACGAAACTGTTGCGCATAGCATTTCTGTGTCGATATTTTCGCTCAAAATATTTTTTTTCTGTTCTATTTATGGTAGGTTAATTATTCTGTCAAACTTTGATTGAATGTTTTGTTTCCATATTATAAGATTAATTAAACTCTTCAGTATGAATAAAATAAAGAAGGTATGAATGTTATTGGCATGGACTTGAGGGTGTCACAATTACAGCATCCGCGCTCAGCTACACCCACAGCTAGACCAACCACACTTACATTCGCGCACTTAAGTTACCATAATCACAGTAGAAAACAATTCATGGTACGGGTAAGTGTTGTCCGCCAAAATGCCCTTAGCGACAATTACTACAAAGTGGGCGCTCACAAGAGATTAAGCTGATCCTTATCTGACTTTTCTTTATAGGTATCAAAGATGGGATCGGTTCGTGTTTTTTGAAAATCGAATCGAACCGACACCATCGCTGATATTCATATTTTTGTTCATCTTCGATAGTTATTTGAAGTATGAAATAACTGATTAACTCAATAGCCTCATAATACTTTTCAAATATGCAATCATTATAATAAAATATCGATTTCTATGATTCAACTAGCTTATATTAAATGTATCAATTGTGATCTTATATATTCTTAAAAGCAAAATATTGATCGATTTCTCAACATTGATGGTCATGTTTCTTATTTTTATATTATTACTATGTTAACAGATCTTATATCATCTGAAATATCAGTTGGAGTACTTGAAGTTCATATACATATTATTATGTAGATAGTACTTCTTATTTGCATATAAACAATTTTTTATTAAGGAACAAAATTTATGGAATATCCTTTAAGCATCGTTAGAGCTACATTGACAAAACTAAACATAAATATTTGCTCTCTATAACAAAATTTTTTTTTTATATCTGATTAAGAATAACATCTAACCTATCAATTCTGCTTTTAATTGGTTTAATTCTTGTATAAGTTCATTTAAAATTTCATTCATTGATTTTGATGGTATTATTTTGTCAAAAATAAGTTTTTGTTGAATATTTCTAATCATTTCATAATCATAATCATTTTCTGATGTAATTGAATATATCTAATTATAGAAAACATACAAAAATTATTAAATTAGAAAAAACTTTCATGTTATACATAATGTAAAAGAAATGGTCGAAGAATGACATAAATTGGTGTTTTATATGAAACAATAAAATCAATGAATGATAAAAGATTTGATGAAATCTTTGATTGTTTATTACACATTAATTTTATTGCTCGTACTGTTCGTTGCCATTCATATTTCATTTGTTTACTAAAACTAATGATTAATATTTTTAAACCTAAAAAAAAGAAAAATATAAATCATGGAAATTTCTTTTCAAAATCTTCATAAAATAAATACCTAATAACGATGCTGTTTGTAAAAGATATTTTAATTGTTTCATTGATTTATGTGTAAAGTTAATATTAGGTATAATAGTTTCTCCAGAAGTTAAATATTGCTTTCCACTATTAGTTAGATGTCCTAATGGTATATTTTGTGTACCCATAGTAGTTGCAAGTTTTAATGGTAATTTTACCGAATTAAAAAGGATTGTAATAATATATGAAATATCACTTGAATGAATTTTTTGTGCATCTTTCTGTTCACTACTCATCCATAATAAGAGTGGTAAAAGAAAATGTAATAAAAAATTCAGTGCTGATGAAGGATTTGCAGATGACCAACTAGTATTTGTAGTTAATGCTTCTAAATTTGGTTGATGCTATAAAAGAAAAAGTTTCTTTTTGTAAACTTTTTGTATTATTATTTGACCCATAGACAACGAATGTCCTAGTGTTTTGATTAGAACTTTTTTTCTTGTCACTTTTTAGATCTAATTGTTGTTTCAGAAGATGAATCGTCAAATTCTCGATGCAGACTTATTCAGATTTATTTCTGTGGAAATTTATGAAGAAAAATCAAATAAAGAATACTCGATGTGTAGAAATGGACTAACATTCTAAGCTATTGTGTTTTACAAACTTTAGTGTTTTTCAATTAGCTCTTTAGACGATGAAAATAAGTTGAAATGCTTTTAAGTATGTTAAAGTGTTGATCGCTATTGTTATACAATTCAAAGATCGTTTAACATCAGACAAATATCCAAAAATCTAAACGATACAATTGAAAATGACCAACACGCATCTGCTGGATTTCAAAGAAAAACCACTCAATAAATTTTGAACACTCAATTCGATAAGATAGTGAGTTACTTCATATTGAAATGGAACAGAACCTGAACTTATAAGATTCTATGTTGACTTAGTAATCTGATGTTACCAGCGAGCTCTAAAACTACAAGTTGAAGTTGTTCAATTTTTTTTGCGAATATCGCAACTAGAGCGAAATCGATGGGATTTCGTAGGACTGCTTTAGGATTTAATTAATTAAAATCGGTTGATAGAATTTTTCAAGAGTAATTTACCATGCACCTTGATAATCGAATTGTGATCGTTGTATTGAATATTCGATCCAACTTTAGATATATATCGCAAAATCAAACAACAAAACTTCAACTAGAGATAGGTCAAATGACTCGTAGAATATCTTTAAGAGTTTAAATCGACAAGAATATTCCTTTGTATAGATACCAGATTTCCAAAAAAAAACCATTTGCCCCAGACTTAATACGAAAATAAAGTTTTACTTGAAAATTCAATATCTCGACAAAACAACTTGTTTTTCTGCTAAAACTTCTATGATATTCTGAGAGTCACTCGGTCCATTCTGGAACGAAACTTCAATTCAAAATTGTGTTTTTTTGATTTTTTTTTCGGTATGTATCTTAAAGTGGGTCGAAAATTGGATAAAATCATCTTAGCTCGACGTCAGAAGTTCATGAAGACGAGCTAGGAGGGCACCGATTTTAATTGTAACCAGCTCCAATTTTTAAAATTAGTCGCTGTTGGAATCAGTTGGAATCGCTATATCTTTAGGACGCGCTCTTTTAGGCTTTTCTTAATCCTACCAATCCCTCATTATAGGACCAATATGAGCTCAAACGACGAATATCAGTTTTATGGTTTCTTCATTAGAGAGTTGGCTCTTTTCCATGCATTGAATATTCTTTGTTCAATTCTACTCCTGAACTTTCTATAGAAGTAAATCTGATTAAATTTTCCTAGAGAATTTGATGGCATATGTTCTGAAAAAGCAATTAGATCTTAGATTTGAAAAGGAAAAAAGAATTCAAGTCAACATATTGAGAAGTTTACAATTTATGAACCATCCATTATTTACTTACATTAATAGCTAATAAATATCGTCCAACAAGTTTAATAACAGAACGAGAAAATTCTTTTGGAAAAATCAATGTATTTAAACGTGGTACACTATGACTTGACTCTGCTAGATTTTCATTTAATATTAATGCAATACAACCAGAAATTAATGCCTAATTTACAAAATGAAATAAAACAAAAACAAAACAAGCATATCAAATCTTTGAATACATACTTTCAAATTTGGAAAATATGCAATATATGGATGTCGATCAATCGTTAAATAAATTCCATTTAAAATTCCTGCTGTTGCTTCCCAATCAAAACAACGCTGAAGTCAAAAATAATTATATAATAAAGATAAATATTCTTTTCTTAATTGTTTTTTTTTTACCTTTGTTATTTGTTTTTTACAAATTTTTATAAACATTCGATCAATACGTCTTAACAAATGATTTAATGCTGGTCGTAATTGCTCATCACTCCAATTTGTATATGGTAATAATTTTTGAAAATAATATTGTATACCACGACAACCTATTGTTATAGGATCAAAACTACCTAATTTAAGTAATGTATGAGCTATATATGCAAGACGTATATGTGATTTAGCATCAAGTAATTCTGGTATTCGAATTGTTGAATCATGAAATAATTTAATCAATTCATTTAAACGTTGAGTAGAAAAATGAATAAATGTTGATATTATAGATAACAATGTATCACGAGGCCAACGAAATTCAGATGCTTGTTTAAGTTCATCAGTATCTTGTGTTCTAGACTTCGTACGATCATCAATAAAACGACTAAAACATAAAAAAAATCGAAACTTGTTGTTATGAAGTTTCTTTAAAAAAAAAATTTTTTTATTTACTTCGTCGAATCATCATCAATGGCAATAGATGGTAAACGATATGAAGTACGTGAAAATTTATATATACCATCTAATGGTGTGTCACATTTAGGTTCAGTAAATGTGCGTGTTAACCATTCGGATGTATTGATTAATATTTTAATAGTAATAGATAACTTTTCAATCTGTTTAAATTCATTACGTCCACATTTTTGAATATCATTTTTATTTGTATAATCTTTTAAATATTCTAAATATTTTGGTAAAAGTATATCGATTACATTAAGCATTTGTAATGAACGAACCGAATCCGACGCATAAGCAACTAAAAAAAATAAAATGAATAAAATTCTAATTATTCAGACAAGTTACTTTTCGCTCTTCAAGACTCACATCAAGCTTTTAGATCAATCTATCATATCAAAGCAGAGAAATGATCTGTCCTTTATTATGGTTCCTACTACTTTTTTGAATTGACAAGACTTTCGTACATTGAAAGTCGCTTTTGACTTAGAACTTTGTACAGAAGGTAGACTCTAGTGAGTTATAAAAACAAAATTAAAAGAATAAGAATCTTGATGTCTTCACTACAAAGTTATAATCGTTTTACTAAACTTTTAATCTATAGCACGATGTGTACAAAATAATCGAATGACAATATTTCGATCTTAAATTTTGCTTATCGATAGGCTTACTTATAACTATAATGTGCTCAAAATCTCAACTCAAATGAATGCTCTCTTCACAAAATACTCACTTCCCAAATATCATTGAGATCCCGCAAAAAATTCGAAGACCATATGTATTTTGAGAATTGACTATCTCATAGAGGTAGCATTGGTTTTAGTTGAAGTTTCCAAGATATTCTAGTAACAAATAGGCCTATCTACGAATGAAATTTCTATAAAATGACTATGAATTTGTAAGGAAATTCTACGGACTCTTATCCTTTTGAAGTTTTCAATATCTTATTTGGGTCTGCCCTTATGAACGAAGCTCTAACTCAAAATCGATTTTCAAGTTACGAGGTTTCTCTGGTTAGTTATTAATGTTATTACTTCATGCATTTTTTGACTTATTCTCTTAACTAAATCTAGTCAGTTCTGTCAGTCAAATTTCAGATACACTTTTCTACTGACTGATAACCATATTAGTATTTTAAATCAAAGTAAAGATCTAAGCATTCGATGTCTACAAGTGTGTAGTGAACAATTAATACACTTTAGATTCTTATTAACGCCCTAATAATTGGACGTCATTGAACCATATTTTTTTAGCTATGAAGATAACACAATGGATCTAGATGATATATTAACACGAAGATTCGATTCTTTCGAATGATGAATGATATCTGAGTATTTCGACATAATATTTTTATTTCATACAACGAGCTTGAATTTGTTCTCTTCAAATAACCCGATCAATATTTAAATTTAGTTTCATCGAGTTTTACTCATTGTCAAAATATGAGATTATGTGACTTTTGACAATGAGCCGTATTTCGTCATCAATGATTCAAATAACTTTTGGTTTTTTCAATTTAGCTTACCAACAGTAACACAAACATCAAAACAATTAAGCAACGTAAATATTGTATCATCATCTGCATAACAAAAATCTAATGATTTAATAACTGTTGGTGCAATCAAAGTTCCTTGTCCGAGTACTCCAACAACAGACGTATTTCCTGTTGGTACATTAAATGTTCTGTGTCTTGTTAATGAATCATTTTTAACTAATTCTAATATAAAATAATTATCATACATAGCATCAATATTTGTTTGTTCTAATGCAATTAATAAACGAAATAAGCATAATTGTGGAATTTTATTTGAATCAATAATATTAGTTGATTGATCTGAGTCAAATAATTGTGATATACTACCAAGCATTTGTAATATAAATGGTATACGATGTAAGATATAGAATTGTCGACAACAATATTCAATTGCTTTTTTTAACATTGGATTTGATTGAACATTTGAATAAACATGAAAAAGTGTTGGCATTATTAAAAGGTATCTTTAAAAAAATAAATAAAATATCTTTTACAAGGAACTCACTCTAACCGTTAAACTCTGTTTGACTTTATATTTCGCTTATAGGTAAGACTCATCGTGTAGGTAAAAGACGTGAATAAGTTCATCTCATTATACTTTTCTTATCGAGTTATTGTCACTTTACTGAGTTTATAGCCTATTGCAGTATATTTCGAAATCACCATAATTTCTAAAACTTCTCAAATTTCCAATATTTCTAAAAATATTTGCTTTGCACTGCCATATAATTATCAAACTGATGAAAATTTGGAAAACTTTAGTCTTATCATTTTCTGAAATCTGTATATGCCTCAATAAAAGCATAATAGGATGAACCTTTTTACGATCTTTACCTACACTATAAGTGTTGCCTATGAATAAAATATGAGCTTAAGCAAAGGTCATCAGTTAGGGAGGTTCCGTTGTTAGTAAAGATAAGAGAAAAAAGAAGTAATTTTCTTTTACCCATTCGTTGCAAATACATTTCGAAAATGTTTAACAATATTTATATAAGTTGCAAGACAAAAACGTAACATAACTAAATCTTCACAATGTAATATAAATGAGCCATTGATTACAGAAAGAAACAGAGTTATATCCGATGTTGTACTGGTTTTACCATCCATATTAAAAAATATACATGCAATTAATTTAGTCCTTAAAAATAAAATGAATTGTTATGAAAAATAAAAATTTTGTCAGTAGGAAAATGTCTATTTTTGGGAGAGTAATATTTCAATCTTTAAAAAGTTTAAAAGTCATGATTGACAGGCAGAACTGTACCTTTCTCGTAAAGAAAGAATATAACACGATTGTCTTAGGAGAACATATGTCACACAGTCAAAGATGGGCAGCTCCGACTCCGGAGCGACCACTCCACGGAACTAGCTCCGCTCCCGGAGCGGAGTCTGAGCGAAGCGACTTAGAAGATGCTCGGAGCTGGAGCTGAGCTGGAGCGAGGAAAGGCCGGAGCTGCCCATCTCTGCACACAGTATATTGTAATTCAGTCTCAACGTTAGAAAAATCGTTTCATTCCATTTCCATAAAATAATTTTCTAAGCTCTTGAAAACTTTCTATATTTACTTATCTTACTCGATGAATGACTGTCGTTCTTGTCTTCTTTTTATGAATTCAGATTTTCATCATAAACATGAGGAAACAGTCTCTTTTAACTTCAGTATAATAAAAAATTGAAATATGGCTTTGAGTAAGCATTGATTTCTTAGTAGAGAGTTCGAGATTATTGCCTTTTACGGTGGATAATTTTACGATCTCTCAGCGCTATACAGATCAATCTGTTTATTGTTGAAGTAATTTACATCAAATTTTTTAATTAATAACACACAACAGATCTGATGATTGTCGCATGTGTTAATCTCCCTAAGGTTGCAAGTATTGTCAACATATATTTATATTTTCGAAAACCAAGTCTCATGATAAAATATCTGAAAATATATTAGTGATTATCGAATATGTTCTGACGAAAACGTAGACTTATTCAAACGTTCAACAAACATTATGTGAAGCGAATCTAGGCATATCGAAAAATAATAACAGTCCTATTCCTCGTAACCGATGTTGTACATTTATTTGGACTAATGTCGTTATATTGCGGTACTCATAATAAACAGCGTTATACTGGCAATAGAATGTTAGTCTGAAAACAAATATCGGTATGTCACAATAGAATGACAATCAGAAGATAGTCGACAGTTTAACTCTCAAACTACCACTGATATAGCGCAGATTATACCAAACGATCTATCGGCAGTTTTTACTCGGTTTGAACCACACAGAATATATATAAAAAAATAAACTGAATAACTTGTATTGCAATTCATATTATCTATTCTGTTTTGTTAAAAAGACTCGCTTAGATATGAGCAAGACAAGTTACTAGTTTTTGTTTCGAACTCAACAAAGTATTTTAATAGAGACTGATTAAAAATGCATACCAATTATATTTATGTAACATATCTAAATGAAATAATTCTTTATCGTGTATTGTTGTATATAAATTGAAATCTGATTCTAATGCTTTACGTGGAAATAATGGACTTTTAATAAATTCATCATGAAAAAATGTAATACAATTATGTATTTGATTAAATGGTGTATTTTCAAGTAAATAACGTGCAAATAAAACTTTTGATAATTCAGTTGTTTTTAGAAAAATAGACATATGTTCAAGTTCTTTACGTGATTGTTTTATATCCATATAAACTAATGATAATTGTGGATGAATATTTCTTCGAAAAAAATAAAAATCTCGTACATATGTATCAGGAATATGAATTTGTTTTGTTTTAACATCAACTAAATAGTATCGATCACGTTTTACATTAGGTATACCAAAAAAGTCTAATGCTTCTTGTAAAACATTACTAAATAGTGTCTCTTCAGATATAATTGCTTGTGTTGGAATTTGTGATGCATCAGGACCATGAATAATAACTTTTTTTGTTGATGGTACATTTCCAGTAACTAATATGAGCATTTCAGCTTGTTCTTTACGTAAAATTTGTTTTAAATCTTTTAAAACAAGACCATGAAGATAGGGTATTATTTGCCAAAGTAATGTAAGACCATTAGCAATTAATTCTTGTGAACCATCAAGTGGTGAACGTACCATACTTAATAATAATCCAAGAACATAATTAAAAATAGCATGAGCAAATTGAGGTGGAATATCGGTGAAATAAATCATCAGATGATGAAGACTTTGAAGCGATTTTATCTGTTATGTAATCATTGTATTACAAAAGAAAATTAAAAATAAAGGATAAAATAGCTTACACGACGTTCTTTATGTGAAATTTTCTCAAAAAAGAAACGAATCAGTAATGTCGGTTCATCAAGTAAACAAGTCCAGAGAACTTTTCGAGCTGCTCCAGATACTAAAATAAAAGAGAACAATTTGAACAATTCTTCAAAGCATTTTAAATGTAATAAAATGAAGATGTTAATTGTAAGATATCACAGTGCGTGCAAAAAAGAAGTGTAAAGCCTTCCATCCTTTACAAACCGATCTTGAATTCGGTACATTCAAATCATATGAACATTATCAGAATGTATTGTGGTTGCAATGGAGAGGCTGCGATAAAATGTTCAGCGTTATACCATTTCGTTTATCACGAAATGTTCAAGAAACAAGAATCAAAACTAATTCATGTAACAACATAAAATTTTCGGTGAGTCTTCATTCTATAGACTTAATTCTTTTTTTGTTTGAAACAGCATGTCAACATGCAGAGTATCACAGAGCACTTGCGTAAAGTTCTCACTTTTTAAGAGAACAGAAGTTCAATGTTTCGAAAAACTATCCTTTTACATATTAGTAACAAAGCTTAATTTAAAAAAAACGGACTTTCTCATGTCCTACATCTTTATACCATCTCTCAAACAAAAAAAAAACACCATTAGCTACAATGAAGCTCCTTCGAGAATTCTGCAATGCACAAGCAAAAAAATCATAAACAAAAAATAAAAGAAAAAGATTTTTCTTTGTATCTAAAAATAAAACATTTTTCCAGCAGAAAATGACGGAAATTTTTTTGAACAAACTAGATGCCAAATGAAAAAAACCATGTTGTTTATGACAAATTAGACTTCCATCTATCTCTCCATGAATTGATCTTCATTTTCACATTTTTGATAAAAATTGACTTTTTCTGAGAAGGCCCGTTAGATAATTGTCTTAGACTAACAAGAACTTCTTCCTATTGCAGAGCATGAGAAACAGAGCATTTGTCAGTAGTAGTACACAACAGAATGTAAGAGAGTCGAACTGTTTTGCTAAAAAACCTCGTCATTTACTGATAGTCGTGTTCCGTAAAAGGATAGATTACGGAAACTATCAAAAGACTAAAACTGATTAACTGCAGTATCCAAGAATCGCTCATTGACTATCCTAATTCATTAACTGTCAATGACTATATTTTCAAAACCATAGGAATAATTCATAAAAATATTAATACTGAGCAAATAAGAACTACATCATTTTCGTTTCAGAATTTTTTATAGTAGAAAACAAAAACGAAAGACGTTATTATTAATAAGCTTTTACTAAGATTATTTTGTTTCGATAATGCTAAGTCATCCGTATCTCAATAAATAGTTGGTATACTCCTTAGTGCTTACCAGTTTGGAATATACCAACTATTTATTGAAATAAAGCTTCGTATGAAAACTAATGAAGTAAATCAGAGTCCAGACTAAAATTTCTGTAATCCGTACATTTTTGGTATTTCTTCGAATATCGTACTACAAGCATATTCCTTATATGAGTAGTTAAACTGTTTCCACAGATGAACGAATGGACCATCTACACAAGTATTCTTTACTCAAGTACATTAAAGTGATAGTAATGTGAATATTTGTTCAAATTTAAAAAAATGTCCACTTACGAAACAAAATATTCAAAACAAATTTAATATTTTTATCTTTCTCCTAACATACCTATTGCACCATTTTCAATAATTTCTTCGTCTTCAAGCATTTCAACAAGATGAAAAATTGCTGCACCAAATACTGATGGAAATGTTCCTTGTGCTTGACAAAGTTGTATACTTGAATCAACAATTCGATCATCATCAATATGAGCTTTAAAATTTACCGAAAAAAAAAACAAATGTTTTATTTTAAAAATCCTTAAAATAGAAATCCATCAAACCTTCTTCTTCATCATCTCTCAATTGATATAAAAGCGGTTCAAATGATGCCGCTTGTAACATTGAAACTATAGACATAGAAAAATTTTCTCTTGCTACACGTTTACTTATTTCTTCCGTCATTAATGCTGAATGTAGTAATTCTTGTTGATGTTTCTTTCGTGTTTTACTAGTTGTAACAACAGCTCGCTAAATATTCAAATCTTATTTTTTCTTTATTTGCAAAGAAAAACTAAAATTAACATACAACTTCTTCTTGATTAAGTGCAACTTGTTGAACAAGTGTTTTAACATATGGCATCCATGGTGGATCAACTGTTTGAAGATTAGCCAAACCAAGTGTAGGTGACGGTAAAACAAATTCAATACTTGGTGGCAGAATCTACATATAATCAAATAAACACCAGTGAGTTTTATTTTCCTATTTACTTTCATCATTGAATGGGCACCATCTTCTAGTCGTATCCAAAATTGATGGCGAAAACGCCATAAAATTTGAAATTTTAATATTGCGTTATATCTAATTAATACAGAAGAATTTTCCATTTCTGTATGAATTAATTTTTCGACTAAATGATTTGCTCGAGCAGCTGTAAGGATAACCATTGTTGCTAAAAAAGAAAAATAATCAAATAAGAATACAATTAAAGTATATTTGTATTTTTACCAGCACAAGAAGATAATTCTTCATTTCCATCAAGTAATAATTCCCAAGATAAAGGAAGAATTTCTGAATAATGTTCATTGTCTAATAAAACAGATGATTTACAAAGTGTCATTAATGGAATTTGCATTAATGATCCCACCTGAAAGGGGCAAATTAACAACAAACAAAATGTAATCTTACACAAACAAAAAAAAGAATCAAACTTGTTTTTCAAGATAAGTCGAAATAGTATTAAAGTGTGTATTTATCCCTTTTTTAATATGTAAATCAGCAGTTTGTTCACCAAAAAAATAAGTTGAAAACTAGGAAATAAAAGTTTTTTGTTTTAATATTAAATGATAGATTTTAAAAAAATACGAAAAGGTTTTACTCGTTGTGTTTTATTTAGCATTGTCTCAGGAAATTTTAAATTTGTTTGTATTGATGATGAACGAGAACATAATGATGACAATCGATACATATTTAATAATGCATTAAAAAGATTTTTACAACTTTTTGTTTGTTTTTCATAACAATTTGATAAACATTTTATTTGATGATTACATGTTAAATTAACATTATTAAATATTCTGATAATAACTTTTATCCATGGAAATGATCGTGTATTAATAATATTATCAAATTTTTCAAGATCATATTCATCCTCAGTACAAATTGGATATTCATTTGTTGGTTCCATAGTTGAATATTCAATATTATTTTGATGAAAATCAGTATCACTTGAAATATTTGATATATGACTACGACGTCTTGCTCGAAAAGATAAACGATGTGCACCTTAGGAAAATGAATAAAACAAAACAAAGAAATCTTTTCCGAATTTATTTTTTTTTTTTAAATGTTACACTGAACTTTATATTGAGATAATACATTAAAAAGCAAAAGAAATTGTCATAACTGATTAAATAATAGACAATCACTTTATTAGATACAAGTTTGAAGAATGAAGACGTTCGCTTGAACTTTCTATGTAGAAAAGGAAAGTTTGAACAAATCATTCTTTCTCAAGTATTTCTTCAGTTGACGCAACATCATAATAAACAGGTTTCAGGACGTAGTTAATATTAACATCTATAGAAAAAAATGCTTACGAGGGAACTTCCTGAGATATCTGGTGCAGATTTCAATGATTTTCTTTTTGTCTATGAACAGTATATAGTGTTTAACTTAAAACTGTAAAAGTATTTGGATTCCTATTGAGACTTAGTGAATCTATGGAATTTTTAAAGTATCTAGCTGCCAAAAGCCTATGTAGCACTCTAGATTTTCGGAAAAATTGTGTTTTTGAATTTTATCTTGAAACAATCTTCATTTCGTGTTCATACATATGATAGCTTTTTTCAAGACAAAATGCAAAACGATGACTTCTCTGAAGATCTGGAGCCCTACATCAGTATTTCGAAAACAGATATTAAAGATTTAATAGATTCACCAAATTTCAATAGAAAGTAGGGGTGCAACGAACCTAGCATAGGTTTGGAATTTGATTTGGACCAAATTCACATAATTTGAAATTGGTGACTGTTATCGAAACGCACACTATTTATATTATTTTTATCCAAATCCAAATACTAATGATTTGGTTTCAACTCTTAAAATCTTTTTCTATTTGTGCCGCATCTCTATTGAAATAGGTTGTTGTTGATTTCATCTTATCTTACCAAATCTCAAGTGTTTTGTATTTATTCCACTCATCCTAGGAAATGAAATTTTCAAGGGATTTCACTAGAATACTAAGCAGTATTCTAAAGCAAAAATCATGGAAAATCGAAGTGGGTGCGTAAATAAATATCCTTATCAGAATATCCAAAACTAATTGATTTCCACTTTTGATTAAAAACCATATGTTTCACAAGTCAAAATAAGTATTATTGCAACTTCCTGTTTTTTGTAAAAAGATATAGATTTTCTTTTTTGATAAAAAAAGAACATTTTTGAAATTCATTTCTTGTTAAGACATAAATTTTATGGAAATTTTATTTTATTATTTGATGAAATCTATGGAAAAAAAGAATGAATAAGATCAGTTGGACTTCAAAGCAGAGATGAGCGAGTCAGCAAAAAAGTCGCACCGTCACCGCCCCGCCTGTTTAGCATTGAAACCGCCACCGCCCCGCCCCGCCCCGCCCCGTCAAAAATATGCTTCAAAAAAACTATTTATTGACAAATTTTTCATTAAATTTTCATAATGGCTATTTCATTTCATGAGATGAAGAGGCATATTTTAAATGCATAAACATCGTTCCGAAATAGAAAAAAATAAACATATGAAAATGAAGGGCAATTATAATACAGTCACTCATTTTGTGGCACTCACGTATATTTTCGAATAAAATAGTGATTGTAAGTTTTAAGTTCGAGGTTTGGCGGCTCTCTCCCTTCCCCCACTCCATTACAGACACTCCACTCAGGGTTGCCAGATCTTCCGATACGGCAGGAAAAATTGCGATTTTTTAAAAGTTTCTCCAACGACTTTCCGACGTTCCGATTTTTCCGATTTTAACATATTTTTGCGATCGCCTTCAGATTTCCTAATTTTTCTCCGGTTTTCGAAGTCTTATTTGGGAATTCAAGTTCTTAGGACATTCTAGAATAGTTTAACCATGACACGACACCACACATATATATAGCGATCTATTTCACCATAGTTATCAGGTAGTGAAGCGTCATGAACTCAACAAACCACACTGCAGTGATTTGAAAGCATATCCTCCAATAAAACTATGATGTTTTACAGACAATTAAGATCCAGCTTTCTATCACGATGAACTAACTTTCTCTGTTCGTTTACTATAGTGTTAATTAAGAATATTTTCGTTTCTGAGCTTTTTTTGTTTCATCACAGATATCATAAAACTAATCATTATCGTATGGGTACTAATTTAGCTGTTGCAGAATTGAAAATCGGAATGAGTTCTATTTATACTTGTGGACATTTTTGTGAATATCTGTTACCTCAACCTGAGATTTTGAAGAGTATTCGAGCTAATAAAAAAGTATGAACAAAAACGAACATTATACAGAATAAGTCTTAGTTTTGTTTTGCATAAGTTTTGTGAAATGCATGTGTGTGTATGAATTTACAATACTGATTCTATTGTTTCGTCAAGTTGGTTATAGCATTTTTGATAAAAATAATGTGATCCTGTTCAAATTACTTATGAGATTTCTCAATCATGAGTAAATTGTGTAATTGATATTTTCTTTAATTCTTTATGAAATATCATTTCCGATATTGCTTCGAAAAGATGAACAGAAGCAAGATAAAGGATATTGAAGCTATCGAAAATATATAGACTAGTTATTTAAGCATGGAAAAATACTTTCTGATTTTCTTCCGATTTCGAGAACAAAAATTCCGACTTTCCCAATTTTTAGAAAAATTTTTCTGATTTTTTAATTTTCGATCTGGTAACCCTGACCCCCACCATTACAGACCTCAGCAGCGCATAAAAGGCTCTAGTTTTTATATAACATATCAATGATTTCATACGTATTCGGAAAAAAGGCATTTTACAATTTAAAAATAAGGCATCAGAACAAAAAATTAAAAAAATATATGTGAGTTCCACATTTTAGCTCCTCTGGAGCTGCGCTAACAAGTCTTTTTTTACTGATTAGTTTTGTAAAAAGATTTTAAAATTTTAAAAAAATGTCTCTAAAGGTCTGAGTATATTTAAAAAATCAAGGTTATACAAAGGCGGGGAAACCGCGAAATTTCGTCATGCACCGTCACCGCCCCGCCCCGTCAAGTTTTAGCACCGCCCCGCCGGCGGGGCGGGGCGGGGCGGGACGGGGCGGTTTTACACCGCGGCTCGCTCATCTCTGCTTCAAAGTATTTTGATTCTTTAAGTGAAAAGAAAGAAAATTGAAGCATATTAATATTCAACATATCATATACTCTAAATCACTTACTTTTTCCAGCCTCTTTCATTCTTACTGGTAGTTTTGTTAATTTACCACTATTTCGTCGATTTAATTTTGACTTTACAGTGAAACCTGCTATACTTTTTCGTTTATTCGCTGCCAACGAAACTAAACAAATAAAGAAAAACAATATATATATATATATAGTAACTTTCATTTAATTATTTGTAAATACCAGATGTTGAATATCCATCCATAACTCCAATACTATCATCATCATTCATAATAACAGTTGTATGATGACTTTCATTCGAATCATTTTCTCTCTTAATTGCAAAACTAATATGTCGTTCATAAGCTGATGGATTCATATGTATTATTTTTGTTGATAACAGTTGTGGTGAAACTACAATATTTAATAAAATAACTAAAACGATTATTTTGTTTTTTTTTTGTTCAATAAGTACGTGGTGGTTGTTCATTTGATCCTGAAACTGTACTTCTATTTGATGCTTGTGAAAGAATACTATCCTTACGTTGACGACCTGAGAAACGTTTATCTGTAATTATTGATGATGTATCGATAATATTTTGTGAATTATTAGTACGTTGTTGCCGATTGTTAACTTCTCCTGTTTGTAATGTTGAAAGTTTTGGTAATGTTTCATATGTTTCACGTAAAAATGATGTAATTTCATAAAGAAGTAAACATACTATCAATTTTAATGAATATGGACAATCATGACCTGAAGGATTAACTATTGCTGAAAAGAAAAATTTATTATCTTTTATAACCAAACATAAGTATGATAACTTCTACCTTCATTATAATAATCTTCAAATATTTCATCCTTGTTCCATAAATGTGCTGTTGAATTTTGTTGTTGTTCAATATCTAACATAGTTTCAAGTTGTGATGAAAGGGTCTTTAATAAAAATTAGTATTCAGTTTTCATTATCGTAATATTTAAAATAACTTACATCGCCCCAAATATAAAACATTCTAGCTGCTGCTGCTTGATATATTTTATTTAATTTTAAATTTATAGTTCCACTAGGACGTCCAGTATATTTATCATGAGGACGAAATGTTGTCATATTCATACGCATCCATACAGGCCATTGTCCTAATGAACAACATCGAACATAATGTGCACATTCAATAAGAAATGCTGCTTTAGAAATAATTGGTGCATCCTAAATTTTTAAATTTTATGTTGAACACAATTATAAAATAAATGAAACAAACCAAAAATAGTAAACTACTAAGAAATTGTGGATCAGGTAATGAACCCGGCGGACATGATTCTATAAGACAATTCAAACGTAATAATCCTGTACGGACAAGTGTTAAATCAACATATAAATTTTCTTCATGATGTCCATCTGAACTACAATCATCACCTCCTGTTAATGGTCCATTAAATACTCGAGTACCTTGAATTTCAATAATTAAAATTTAAACTTTAAAATAATTTCGTTTTTTTTCTGTACTTTTTAATTTACTGTTAAATGGTAGTTGCCCTTCTTTATTGGATTGTGTTTGTAATTGTTGATCAATATTTCCATTAATATTATCAGTTGAATCATGATTAAGAGAAATCTATTAATAAAAACCAAGCTATCATAAAAAGAAATTGTATGAACTCACTTTTACTTTACTATCATTTTGTTGAATAAATTTATCTTTTATTGTTTGTCGTAATGTTTTAAGTTTTTTTTCTGGATCCATTAATGATGAAAATACTGCTAAACGAAATATTCCACCATGATTTTCTTTAACATAGATTAATAAAGCTCGACATTCACAATATAAAACAACATTTTCAGGAGTTAATAAATATTCTTCCATCTTGTTTAAACGTATAACCAATGGTTTAAATATAATATTTAATATAAAACCATCAATACCTTTTGGACCTATACCAAGATGAGTATTACCAAAATTATTTGAATATGTTTGACGTAACTGAATATCAGGTTTTGTTGGAACTGAACAATATATATAAGTTAAAGAAAAAAAAAAGAAGAAGTTCTATACTATAGGGCGCATAGTGAGCGAGACCAATATTTGATTCAGCACAATAACCACATAAGGAATGTAATATATCAAGTATATGAACAAGATCAGCATTAACAGCAAAGTTTAGAAAACATCTAATAAAAAAAAAAAACACTTTTCAATAAAAAATAGAAAAATGAAATTGATACTTTTCAAATCGATGTTGGTGAAGTAAACGAAGTTTATTTAATAATAAGCGTGCTTTACTGCGTAATTGATCAATAATAAAACTACGGCCACGTGCTTGACAATTTGAACAACCTAATCGTTTGAGTATTCTAGAAATAGAGAAAAAAACAATTGTATTTTGTATTCCCAGACAATTTTTTTGGTTGGATATTATGTTGCTGATAAAACCTCAAAAGATGAAAAGAGTTCGTCAGAAGACTTTTCTCTGAGCTAACTATGAAATAACTTTCATATCGATATATAGTAAGTATCAAAATTATTCAATAAGGTTTATTTCAATTATTTTCCGCTATGGAAAGCATTATAGAAAACCAAAGCCCTACTTATTTGACACCTAGAGCGCGTAAAAATAATTTTCTCGAGACTACATAGAACAATAAAATAAATCTTTTATTACAAAGAAGACATAATCGAGTTTTCTACAACGTTTTTTGGCTGAGATAAAGTATTTCAATTGAAGATTTTTAAAAAATGGTTTCTCTTTAAGAAATTGAAAAGAATGACTTTAGGAACTTTCGTATGATTGCTGTATCTCAATCAAGAAATGTCGCACAGAACTCAGAGACACTTCATTTTGTGAAGAATTTTTTGCTCTATCCTTCTATGGACTCAAATAAAATTATATTTAGCCGTTCTAGGTACTAGAAAAACTTGGACTTCGATTTTCTGGAAACTCTATCTTTGAGAACTTGATGATCATTTTTATTTCTTTTGAACACAGTCTTTGCTATTCGAATCTCTGTTTGGATTCTTTGTTCCGCTTTGAACAACGGAAAAAAATTGAATAATTTTTGTATTTACCGTATACCATCTTCTGAACTTTTTTCTTTATTGCAATAAAAAATAAAAACTTCAAATATGTAAGAACTTTGAAAATTTTAAATCAAAGACATCTGTGAAGTAGAACATGATCTGTCTTCTTTCTGCTGTAAGTATTTAGATAAGATTCACACTCAAATGGCAAAGATATTTTTCGCACTAATAATAGCATGACAGATTTTAGTACAACCAGACTAGAAAAGTAAAATTTTAAGCGTCTTGCGACTGGCACTCAATCAAATATTCTGCTGTTATATCCGTTTGACTACTACCATAGTTATCAATGGCTCACATTAAAAGAAATACATATCAATGGATCTTCTTAAAAGCATTCAATATTCAAAATATTCAAATTCTAAATAGACACACAGGGACTTATTCTACTATATTTATCTGGGGGCACCACTTTAGTTTTTTTTTTGATTAAAAGTTATCTTAATTCTTCTCATTGCTCGTCGACGTTAAAGGCATTAAAATATCCTTGAGCTATTCTACATTTACTTTTTCTCTGAATTCGTGAAAAGTTAGAATGTGTATTAAATTGAATGTCAACAGTCGGAAATAATGTTTATAGACGATTTTCATATGAAAAAGAAAGAATTGAACATAATTCTATCATTGATAAAAAAAAGTCAGCCCCAGAAACTTAAGGTACGCGTTCGACTCTGACTACACAATCATCTCTAGGTAATTAATAATAGAAAGAAGAAATGTACCAATAGACAGGATTTCAAGGTTGACTATTCTAGATTTACACGCAGTGGAATCAATGATTCAAACACTGAAGGAGCATAGACATCTTTAAAAAAAGTCAAGGATGTTCAGAAATACCCAAACCTTAGTATGCTTCTATGACTACTAGTATAGCTTAAGAAACGCTTGAACCATCTCTTTAGAGTAGTTAGTCCCATTCTTTTTTGACCCAAAACTTGATTTCGGGTTGCGCATAATGTATGATAACTTCAAGTGCCATGCTCAATTTGAAAACATCATTTGACTTTAAACAGCTTTTTGTTACAGGGCTACTAAGTTCAAGAAATTTGGTGTCATAGCAGTCAGACTGAAACTGTTTTCTTTGACTTAGCGTAACGTGAAATTCTAGTTTCCTTTAATCCTGGCTGCTTACGACTAGGGGGTCTGCAAACTGATCACAGTCCCAATCCTGTCAGAAACGTAATCAGGACTAAATTTTAATTTTTACAGAACCGGTATCGGGACTTAAAACTTTCTAAAACTGGTCCCGTTATATTTTCTGTTCAAGAACTAGACTACATATACTCACACTTATTATTCTGTTCTAATTAATGATCTGCAAATAGACCCTTTTTTATTTATGATTGAGACACATTTATGGATCTGCAAAATCACTTTTTTTCTATTCTGAACGAGAATCACCATAAGGGTCCTCACTAAAGGTAGTACTCATAGTTCTACAGATCCTACATTTTGATATCATCAAAAAGACTTTTGAATGAACATCGGATGAAGCTCACTCTTTTCGAGTTTGTATCTATGCCAGAATTGTGAGTTTTGAGAGAATTTTCTAAACTACACAACCAGATCCAAGGAAAATTTTGAGGGAGACAAAAAAGTGGTGTTGTTTTTCTTTAGTTTTGATGCATGCATATAAAGGTATGCTCATACTGTTAATTTCTCAAAACTATCAATATTCATTTTGGATGTGTACAAAGAATCATAGAGATTATTAGCAAAATCGTTTTTTCTAGAAACGAAATTAGAACCAGAAGCATAAAGATTTTTAACCGAGTCTCGAACCGGGACCAAAAATGTTTAATCGGACCCGAATCGGAGTCTGGATCATAAAAGAATCTTAACCTAGATCGAACACGAGACTGGGACCAAAAAAAGGGTGGTCCTACCGATTTCTACTTACGATCTCTCTTTTACCTTGTTCGATTGGGCTGAAATTTGTATCACATGTATTCGAAAATAACCTCCAGAAGTAAAACCAGTCGTTTTCGCTTTTGACTTCTCTATCTGGATTTAAAGAGTTTTGAAAGTAAGCATTTTGGTTTTGTGTTTAAACCTTCCTTTATACATTTATTTCATAAAAAAAAAGAGATCATCAGATTTTCGAAAATGCTTAAAAATACCTCTGGGATATTACAGACTGAGGTATCTCAACAAAATTGCAATCGTATCGGATATAGTTTGATAAGAATCGTAACGCATCAGGTTGTAGTTCTATATTAAAAAAAAAGGATTTTCCCAAAACTCTCTTGAATTTTTTTTCTGGAACACATGTCTTCTTATTCTAGATGCTGTATAACGGTGAAAATTTTAATCTAATCGGTTGTACTCGCTTTGGGAATCCGAAATGGATCAGAAAAAAGTGGATGAAAACTCTTCAATGCTCGATACTATCAGAACTGATTGAATAGTACTCGGATACGATACATTCCTACTTCAGACATTCCGTACCTTAATATAATATCGAGAGCTAATTGAAATTTTTCATCTTCTATTGCATCAATCTGTTTTAACCATTCGCCTATATGTTGATTTGCTGTATCATCTGTTGTTGTCATATGATTATTTTCATTATTGGATAATTGTTTTTTATAGATCTCATCTTCCGCTGATGATATAACAGTCAAACCAAATAAAACATCAAGAATATTCATAACTAATTCACAAACTTTTAAATGATACTCTTTACATATAACAGCATGTATACCAGCTAAAATAACACCAAAATTAATTGTACCATTTCGATTAATATATCCATTTGAACCTTGTGCTTCTTCAATTTCTTCTAAAAATTTATAATTTATTTCTGAATCACTAGCACTATATTTTTTCATTGCATATAAATTTGTTATTGGTATAGTTGCAGATGTTTTTCTTATATTATTATCTAAATCAGCAGATTGACCAATTGTATCTGTATTATTTAATATTGATGTTTTAAATAGTAATAATGTTGGATCTGTTTGATGAAATCGACTACTTTGTGATAATGAGGATGATGCATGAAATTTATTATGACGATCAGCATTAGCTAAATCCAAGTGTTCAATACCATTTTCATCAATATAATGAATTTTACTACAATGGAAAAAAATAAAAATATGAAATTTGTATATCTATACAAAAAAAAAGATGAGAATACTGCAATTACTTCTTTGTTAATAATTGTTTTTCTCTTTGATGTATAAAAAAGAGAAAACTTATAATTTTAAAACATGAAAGTATTAAATAAGATATTTCATACCGTATTATCTTACAAAAATTCATACATTTTTTATTGCATTTTTTACTATGTGAAAATTTATCAGTAAAATATTGAAATGGTATATTTAATAATTTAGTTGATTGTTTAATTGAATTAGATGTTGTAGTTGTCATAGATTGTTCTCCAATTATATTATGTGTTATTTGTTCATTAAAATAATTTTTTTCTAAATATTTATAATAATTATATTCATTTAAGATACTTAATTCTGGCATGGAAAGACTTTTAAAACGAAGAATATTTATTGGCAATATACCAGTTGTTAATGCATCAGATAAAACTTCATCTGATATATTAGTCAGACGTTTATGTAAATATTCTAAACACCATAAATAACCATCGATTAACCATGATGGACTAAATAATGTTCGGATTATTCCAATATCAAAATAAGTTGCTAATAGAAGAAATTCTGAAGTGTGTGCTTTAGACGATGAAGGTACATCAGTTGAAGAAGTATATGAAATATTTGGTAGCTGTTGAGAAAACGGAAAATGTGAAGGAATAGATGGTGTTGAAACTGATGATGATATATTGGAGATTATATTAGGTAAATCAGCAGCTACAATAAACATTTGCACATAGGAAATTAGTTTTTTTCAATCAGATAAGTTTCAATTAACTTAAATTTTTTCTTTTTTGATTACCGAAGGCTATATTCAAAGTTTCCAGCTCCGTTTTGATTCTTTCATTTGTCATTCGATAGATTATGTTGAGGAAAGAATAAGGTTTAAAGAGGTAGGGTCCATGGCCCGCTAATGAAGAACTATGATTGTTTTAGTACAATTTTCATTGAGAGCTACTTATTGTCAAACAATAAATAAATCAAGAGTTTTAACCTGAAATTACATTCATAAATAGATTTAATAGTTATTAGAAAGTCCTGGACGTTTTAACGAAAACGAATATGTCTTTCTGAAAATATTCAAATTTTAAGTAGATTGAATCATTGTCTTCCTATGGTAAATCGTTGTTTTCTTTTTTTGGGAAACTGAATATCTTAAGAAAGACTTGTATATTTTCGTTGACACTTTTAGAATTATCTTATGACTGGAAACTCTATTTATAAGCAAAATTTTAGGCTACAACTCTTTATTTCAGGCTTTTTTGAACATGTGTAGCTCTCCATGAAAATTTCAATAAACCAGCCATAACTTTTCGTCAGTAGACCATGAATCCGAACCATTCAATACTGTGTCTTATCTAAATATAATCTATCGAATGAGATATACATGAAACAAATCGGAATTGGACACTTCGGTTATTAATATTTAAATAAAAACAAATAATTTCAACCTGGACTTTGTAGTGATAATGTTACTCGACTTAAATTCGACGCTGAACAAATTGAATTCATATTTACAAGTGGTGCTTGTTTTTGTCTATCATTGTCTGTTACTTCATAAACTGAAAGATCAGCTATGGAATTATATGTTGTTGTTGCATTAGAATCTGTAAGTATAGATGTATGTGATTTTTGTTTTTCTTCAGTCTTGATTTCCAATTGAAAACAATTTGTATTAGTTGTTTCATTAGAATTAATTGGTACATTTAAAGATAATTGTTTTCTTAAACCAGATAAATATTGTTTTTCAGATGATGATCTTTGTATTGGTGATTGAATTAAAACTGGTAAACAATGATGTTGATTATTATTATCAATAGAAACTCTTGATTCTTGATGATTATTTGTTAATACAATAGGTTTAACAAACGCGTTAAATATACGTACATTTGGTCGATGATATTCAAATAATGGTTGCCAAATAAGACGCATACCTTGAGAAAGATCAGAATTTGATAAAAATTCTTTTTCATTATTACGTAAATATGTATGAATATATGGAATAAATAAATAAATAAATAATTGTATTGTATTTAATGACAAAGGTTGATCATTCGTTTCATTAGAATGTAATATAAGATAATGTAATGTATGAAAAAGACGAATTTCTGTTGAATCTAATAAATGATTAGTTATTGTTGATGAACGATGAGTTAAATATGATTGATTTCGTTGATATTCAGTTGAATTCATTGTTGGATTAAGAGATATTGATAATGGATGATTAGATGGAATTTGAAGTTGTGTTGAAAATGTTGATGAATGAGATTGGGATGGAGCAACAACCAATGATGAATGAATTGGAGGATAAGGTTGTTGCTGCATCTGAACTGAACCAAGATTATGTTCAATTACTGATGAACATGCATGTATTACATGTGGAAATGCCTGAGGACAAAGGAAAAAGGCATAACTTTATAAACAAAACAAATAGACTAACTGCTTTCATTAATAACCATCTTGGAATACTTGATATAGCATCAGTAAGACATGGTGATAAGCCATGTAAGATATTTTGAACAAGTACTCGATCGAAAATCTATATAAATGATAGATGCAGAAAAAAGTTCCCTTTTCATTAGATGAACATTAATATTATATTTACAATAGCAGATGCTTCAGTTAAATTACCAAATTTTTGTTTCAGAAACGGACTAGAAATATATTCAATATTTTTTTTGATTTTCTTAAATGAAAAAACAATGCTTACCTGCTTTGTCGCCATAAAAATATTTGTATTGGAACAGGAATTGTGTCTTCATAGTCCGATGATAAATAAGATTTACGCATAGTATCACGATGAGAAGTTGAAATATTTTCAAAATTTTCATCTAATACAGTGGTTTGTATACTTCTTTTCGGCATTGGAAAGAAATAATCTACAAAAAAAAACAAGATTCATTGTCGATGCATAACATATTTTATTACATAATTAAAAAAAATAATTATCAAAAATATTAATTAGACAAAAGCAGATTAAGACTTATCATTTATCCGCTTCTTTTATGATATGAATTTGAGATAGAAGAGCATCACCTTGTATTAATATAGAAATGATTTTTTATTCTCACTTTTAACGTTAGGATTCAACAACTTCAATTTTACATAAGTAGTTTTTCAAAGTATTCTAAGCCATACATTCGATACTAAATTTTAAAAAAATTAATAAGAATTTTTATGAATAGAGTACCTAATGAAGGAACATTGTTTGATGCCATTTGGCTTTTGAATCGGAGCCTATGTGTATCATGCAGACGCTAATAAATTATGAATATCCTCAAAAGACTTCGTGTTTGAAGTTTCTTTTTGATGAGATATCAAATTTTTAGTTTATATTCCCTCTAGAATCTCACTTTTGCAGCAAACTCATATTCTTGAATTTTCTTTTAAAACTTTGTCCACATAACGACCTAAATTAGACAAACCTGTATGAAGAATTGTTAGAATTTTTTTTGACAAATTTTCTTCAAGATATGAAAATTTCAAAAATTACATACTATATTTACTATCTATGGACAGAACCTCTACCTTGACAGGTTCACATGTAATGAGGAAGCTTCTGCATGTGTCAAATCACTTCTCCACCGAAGTGATGTTCATTTGATGACTGCTAGTGAGTAATAAAAAAGTTTTGGATAGTTTGGTTTTTCGAACCTTCGTTCTTGAGATATATCGAAATTCTACTGAATGTTTCAATAAAAAGCCGAAGTCATGTGGAAAATCGAATTTTGGCTTTAAACTTTGAAGGAACGAAGTTCTTAATGAGATTAATTGATTGGGCGACTAGTATTCCCTTTCTGAAGACTTAAGTATATGAACGAAATTTACTGGTATATATAAGAAAGTTTCAAATATTCTTTATTGTACGATAGAAGATACCAGAAAAGCTACAACTTGTTATTTGAATCTACATGATGCACATAGTCACGACTTGAAAACTTTTTGCTACCTGAAAATGTTCCCTCATAAACAAAAATAAATTATTATCCGTAATAATTAAAAGCAGAAGAAACCTATTCATCTTACGTCGCACAACGTTTTTTTTATCCATCTACAATATAAGAATCGAATATGAACGACAAAAAAAGAAGAAGAAGAAGCAATCTATTATACACAGTGATTTTTATTTAGATGCATATAGTTCTCATGATGAGCGAGAAATATGATTTATTGAATATGTCAGTTTTGTTTGATTGTTCAAAGGAAGACAAAGTCATGTAATATTAGAAAAGATGGTTTGTTTAAAGAAATAAAAACATTCAACATGCTTAATATATCGAATTAATGTACCAATATTAACTTTCCAAAAAACATTAAAATTTAACTGAACATATTTTTTTCTAAATTGCATAATAAAGTTTTTTAAATTTACCTTTTTTTTTTATGAATGACATACAATGGTTCGAGTAATCATAAAAGGTATATATTCTGACATGACATGCTATCGTATTAATAGATGTTTGATTATATTTGAATATGACAAGCAAACATTCAGATTTCGTAAGGATGAACTTCTTGTATTTATTTGTTTACAATATAATAAAATAATGACTAAATATAGATGATTTCCATTAGTGAATAAATTGAATTCATGATTATAATTAATTTGATTATATGAAAAAAAAGCTTTTACTTAAACCACTGAAGAATTGTAAAGATTCTTTTTACTATGATAAACAACATTTGAATAATAATGGCTGATCGAAAAGTTTCGATCCCTTTAAGTAAATCAAGAATATCTATAACAAATCTATACATAGTTAATTGTTTGAAATATGTAATTTTGAAGGGAAAGATTAGAGTTATCTTCTACAAAAAAGAAAAGATATATTTAAAAGTGCATAAATATAGTACGATATCATAGTCATTTTACTAATGTTAAGCAAATATTTTTATCTTACAGTTTTTAACAAAAATAAAAGAAAAATTTCTAATAATAGTTCTATAGCGTTTATACTCATAGAAGTTTTTTAATCAGATCGATCTATTTTAATGAAATAATATTCATCATCTTTGCTGATTATGATTTTAGTTTTATAACATTTCATATTGTTATTATGAGGTTTACTGTTTCCAGTTGATCACTACTAATAAATGATCGAAAATTTTTGAGATACCATGTTTGTTCACATTTGATTGTCTAAAAAGTAGAATCGATGATTTAGGACCAGAACTTTGTGCTCTTTTTGAATATGAGCTTAGAAATTCGGTCTCAATTTTTATTGGAGAATAGTAAAATAATCTTTGAAAAGCTCTAAAAATTAGTTAGGTAAACGACAATTTTTTTTATTTTCACTATTGTGATTCGAAACTAAAATTTGAATTTTTATTTACATGAGTCAGTCGATGTAAGCCACGATCGATTTTGCTCAATCCGAGAGCCGAAACTTTTGATTGCAGTCTAAAATACTCCTTTGCTTCGTAGTGCTTGAAAAGAAAGTTTGATCTATATTCAAAATAAGTATAAAGTTTTGGTCCTAACTGATAGCTTTTTATTCGTCTGAAATATTTTCTAGAGATGCAAAATTAAACAAACATCTTGTCTAAAAACTTTCCAATCACTAGTTATACCAGTTTCCTGGATTGATCTTTTTAATAGTGGTATTTAAAAAAATTCTAGTATTCATTTCAAAGCCGAATAGATTATAAATGGCCAATTGAATACTTGAGAGATATTCTTCGACAAGATTTAAGTATATACAAATTTCATTCATTACATCGCGTCAAATAAAAAAAAAAAAAACTTTGAGGTATTGAAAAAAATGTAGTGTAGAAAAATGTGAAAAAATGTTTAACAATATTTTAAAAAGGTTAAAAGCAATCGTCCGAAAACAAGGAATCAATGTATCACAACATTTGATTATTGGTATTTATACAAAATGTCATCTGATAAACTTATAAATCATTTCAATATTTGAATAGAAAAAACTTCTTTTTTTATTTATGTCAAAAAATGTAAGATGAAAATATTCACTCAAGTTTAGTAAAATGATCATAATATTGTACTACATTTATGAATTTCGAAGTAATTTGTTTTTTTTTTCAAATGATAACTCTGTTCTACTCTACCCGATATCATTGATTTACTGAAAGAAGTCGAAACTTTTCGATCACCCTTTATTTTCATTTTAGTTTATGTTTCATAATGAAAAAAGAATTATATTTGTCATATATCACCATAAATTACTTAAATAGAGATCACAGAATGAACTACAATTGACAAGTATTTCAAAGCACGTCCTAACATTTGTCACGATATTTCATCATGAAGAATTTCTTTTGACATTGTTATGTAGGTTTGCATATTATAGTTGACAAAAGCATTCTTTTTTCTTCTGTCTATCTTGTTCCATTAATAAGTTTTATTATCTAATACGTCAAGCAATTCTTTTCATTGAATATATTCTTCAGGATTTTTTTTTAGATAGATTCAATTTCATCTCTTTCATAAATGAAATACTCATGTTTTCTTGTTTGTTAAATATATTTTAACAAAAAATTATAATTGAATTTTTATCAATTTACTAGAGGAATTTCTTTTTTACATTATACTGTATTATATTTGTGATGAACTAACATATGTCATCCAACATGTGATTCAAAATTTTCATTGATAAAAAAAAAAAGAACTATTGAAAAGGAATGTAAATAAAGTTCAGATCAAAAATTTAGACAAATACAACACACATTAATGTTAAAAAACCTCGAAAAGAAAGAACCTCAAATTATGAATATATACATCATTCAATAAGAAGGGAAATATCTTTCTTCTTATTCGCAAATACTAACAATTGTTTAATCAATTCATTGTTATCAAAAAAAATCTGATGATCACATAAAGAAATTACAAATATGCATTTATCGATTTGTAACAGCAGGAATATTCTGAGATGGCTGAATTTGAGGGATCAGGCGTTTTTTTTTAGGAACTGATGAATGATAAAAAGTTGGAACTCCACTATTGAAAAACAAAAGTTGTTCAAAGATGGAACAGACATCTCCTCTACTTCAAAGTGCATCTGTATTACTGACAAGAAAATAATTCCTGATGTAAATTTGTTCTTTTTTTTAACCGGGACTCTAGAAATCGCATATACTCTTGATAGAAAACAATTGAGATCAACGATAAAAGTGTCTACTGTTTCTTTCTTGAGACTGTTATGAGTAAAAGCCCTATACTTTAGAATTTTTCTTCATTTCAAATAGAAAAACAAGCAAAGAAATCTGAAATTTTTTTACAATATACTGTTCTACTACAAGCTTATCTGTCAAAATGTTGAATCACTCTTTTCTACTGTACTGAATGATACTGTAAGACCATTTTGAAAACTCTGTATGCTATAAAATGTAAATCTTTTTCTAGTTGACTCATAGCTCGTTAAAGATCAAAAAAACTATACATAATCGAATATGAGACTAATCTTTTCGAGATATTTAAACATACTACACAATATATATGTATATACAAAAAAGTTTGTTTTGCATTTTTTTAAGCATTTGCATTAATCGTTGGACGCGGCTCATAGAGAACACTGGAGCTATTTTCATCTGAATCATAACCATCAGGTGCATCATTCACTGGTGAACTTTTCATACCAGTATATGGATAACGTTGTGTATTAGTTTTTGTTTGATTTTTATTTGTATTATTGTTCATTGAACGAAGTGATGTCATTGATTGTGTATGTATGATGCGTTTTCTATCATCAGCTTCATTACGTAATTGAATGAATTCTTTGCGATTTTGCTGAAATACAAACATCATATAAACACCCATAAATACTCCAAATAAACTCATAAATATATTTTCCCAAAATCCACGTCGATACCAATATTTCATTAATGGACCACAACCACGTGTATTA